CCGGCTCTTTTTCAGCCTTTTCTGTTAGTATCAGGCTGGGGTCTGGGTGGGCTTGGTCACCACTGGTAACCACTGCAAGTCTCCAGCAGCCATTCCCAGGCTCCCCTCTTCTTTGAGAAGACATCACCACACCTGATTTCCCATATTCAAATTAGCTTATGTGTCGGATAACGGGCAAGGTTAGCCTGAGAAGCTGAGCTTTCCCCAGTCACTGCTCAGGCCTTGCCAAGCTACTTGTAACTCCCCCTCTGGAGCTCATGCTGGGCTCTGCCATGTGAACCCTTGCCCCTTGTCTGTGCTGGCATGACACCACCACCCTGCCCCCCCAGCGATGTGCCCCACCTCCTCTTGGTTTTTATAATCCCATCCCCCAGAAAAGACAGGTTCCTCTCGCCTCACCTGTGGATACCCTGACCAGGAGCTCCAGGAGCACAGGAGGGAGCCTTGGTGCATCTCAGCCTCCCCTGCGAGATCACCACTAGACAAAATCTGTTCTGCAATGCTTGGGGACTGGAAACCCAGAAGACAGACCGCTCCCCCCTGTAGGTTCCCTGCAACCCACAGAGACACCCCTGAAGTAAAAACAAGTGGAATATATAAAAACCAAGTGCTACAGAGCACATATACTAATATAAACATTATATATATATAAAGACACACATTTCATTTTGAGACCACACATGGCACTGCTCAGGGCTTACTCCTGGCTCTACACACAGGGATCACTCCTGATAATGATCTGGGGACCATATGGAGTACCAAGGATTGAATCCCAGCTGGCCTAAAGCAAGGCAAGTGCCCTACCCATCGTATAATAAGTATTTTTTTTTAAATGATACAAACCTGATCCCCACTTTCAGGAAACAACTGCTAGGGAAAGTTATCTGCAGGAGTTTAAAGTAAGTGTCAAGTTTGGAAGAAACTTCATATCTGAGAAAGGCAGAGCTCGGCTTGCAGTCACCCTCCCACCTGCCTCTAGCTGCTGTCCCTTATTGACTCCAGAGCATCGATCATTCTATGAAACACACTATTTGCTAACCCTCTGTCCCCTATCCCCTACTTTCAACTAGAATATAAATTATCCACAGGAAGAGTCTTGGTCTTGCTAGATCCCCTAGAACTAGTAGGTAACTAAAACGATTTGTTAAGCAAGTGGTGATAACCAGAAGATAGATAGATAGATAGATAGATAGATAGATAGATAGATAGAGATCGATTTGCTCGAGCGGGCCCAGTAACGTCTCCATTGGAGACTTTGTTGTTACTGTGTCTGGCATATCGAATACTCTGGGTAGCTTGCCGGGCTCTCCGAGAGGGGCGGAGGAATCGAACTCGGGTCGGACATAGATAGAGATATGTGTAGATATATATCAAAGTGTTTTGTGATACCTGGCACCACATACACTGGACTTTCTCCTTGAGAGCGGGCACATGGACGGACATAAAGTACAAATCCAGCGTCAAGCACACAGTAAGCTCAGTGGTTTGGCTAACATTGCTATCAGGAAATCCAGAAGAGGGTGTGGCCAACAAGGACAGAGGCAGTTACAGAGCGTTTCTAAGAGGCAGGTCTTGGGCTTCAGCTTGGTCAAGAAGGATAAGGGTTTCCTGACATGGACATATGTGGGGGCAATTACAGAGGGTTAGAAAAGTCTCCTTTGGGAATACCCTGCCTCTGTGGCAGGGTGCGATGGGGGGATGGGGAGTGGGAGGGATACTGGGACCTTGGTGGTGAAAATGGGCACTGCTGGAGAGATGGGTGTTTGATCATTGTACAATTGAAACCCAAGCACAAAAATTTGTAAATCTACAACTGTACCTCATGGTGTTTCACTAACAAAAATTTTTAAAAAAATGTAAATGATGGAGAATGGGCACTAGTGGAGGGATGGGTACTGGCTCAAAATGCAAGCACAAAAGTTTATAAATCTACAACTGTACCTCATGGTGTTTCACTAATAAAAATTTTTTAAAAAAAGAAAAGTCTCCTTTGTACCAGCCAACCCTCTCCCCCCCCCCACGCACACATACACAGTGAAAGAGAGAGAGAGACAGAGACAGAGAGACAGAGAGAAATGCAAACCTTACACTAAGACTCTTCTGTGGACCGGCCTCTCTCCCAAAACCATTAACCCACTTTCCCTTCTATCCCACCGAAACTTAAACAAAATTCATCACAAAGGGACACTCAACAATGCTACTGATTTACTCTCAGAACCCTATAGAAAAGACATAATCTCCTCTTCCAAGGAACAATCCATGTCTAAGCTATTTAGCCAAAATACTCAATACCCAGGGGTGGGGTGGGGTGGGGAGGGAGTGGGTGGAGGGGGATTATTTGTGGTCCTGCACGACTGAGGAATCCACCTGGCGCCAACTACATTGCCAGCTCTGCAGATCAGGATCCCTGGTGGTCCCATAACAGACTGTGCAAGCTCTAGCAAACAGCCAGTTGTGTGCAAGGACAACGAAAGCGTGTGACCCTTGGAGGCCACCGAACTAAGGGAGCATTACATCCAGAACTTGAGAAACCACAAAAAGAATGTGACTCAAGCACCATGAACAGTCATGGTGTTCATGGTGGCCCAATAGCAGAAAACAACAAAACAAACAACAACAACAACAAAACCCCCTTCCCCTCCCCTCACCCCAACGTTAACTCTGGGAATGGGGGAGGGGGCGGCAGGGAACTCAAGGGCCATCCATCAGCATTAAAAAAGCACAGTCGGGGATGGGGTGCGGCCCACCAGTAAAACATCCCCAAGTCTCAGGTTTGATTTCCAGCATCACAACCCAGGGGGAGGGTGGGGAGCAGGAATTACACGCAAGGATAGCCACTAAGCATGTTTTGGGAGGAATGGGGTATCAAAATGCAGCAAGAATATCACCACAGAAACAATAAACAGTACACTAACGTGCATTTATAAAGTGCAGAAGTCAAACTAAAAACATGGGACATTAGGCCTGTGACATGGCTACAGGACTTCAGTTGCCACTTGGCATGAGGGGACCCGCTGCAGTCCCACACATACCACAAGGGCCCCTGAACACAAGCTACCCTGAGCAACCTCAGTATACCCCCATCCCAACACAAAAATGAGACAGTCGCTTCTATACTAGTCAGGCAGACTCCAAATAATGTTGTTAACGAGGCACAAAGTTTCGAGAAAACCGGGCTAGAAAGATAGTAGAGCCGATGGGGCGCCTGTCTTCCATGTCGCTTACTCAGGCTCGATCCTGGGCACCACATAAGGTCCTCGAACCCCACCCAGAGTGATCCCTGAGCAGGGCCAAGTGGCCCAATAGCAGAAAACAACAAAACAAAACAAATGAACAACAACAACAAAACCCCCTCAAGATCACACACAATAGCAGAAAACAACAAAACAAAACAAAACAAAACAAACAACAACAAAACCCCCTCAAGATCACACAGCATGTGATCTCGTTTGTGTGAAACAAAAACTTGAAAGACACACATAGAAAACCCTAAACGTCACTCTGGAGGTACCTTGGTACCCTGTTCTATTCATTCTCAGCTCTCCAACACTGCCTCACAAACGCATAAGTTTTTAATAAAAAAATAAAGAGTTGTGTACATGAATTAAAAACTGAAAATTAGACCTGCTTTTAATTCCAGACTGTTTGCACATTTAAGAAATGGCCCTGAGATGGATTCCAATTGATTCTTTAAAAAAATAATAATAAAAGGGATGGGTATTTGATCATTGTATAATTGAAACCCAAGCACAGAATTTGTACAGTTTATAACTGTACCTCATGGTGTCTTACTAATAAAATATTTTAAAATAATAATAATAATAATAATAAAATAACGGCTGGGTAATAACATCGAGGGGGTCCAAGCACCAACCCTTGAACCCTCTTGGGCAAACAGGACTCTGCTCCCCGAACTCCAACCCCACCCGGTGGCTGCAGTATCAGCTCCTAAAAGGGAAAGGAGCGCTGGACTTTCACCGTCCCTTGCAAACTAGCGACGGGCTCGCTCGCGCCTTCTGCGAAGGTGCTGGATCCCCAAACCACGACTCCCCCTGGAGGCTCTTGCAACGAGCCGGTGGCTGCGTGACCTCCCCCAGGTGGGTGCGAGCACGCGGCTCGGGAGGGACAGGCGGCGGGTGGGGGGAAGGACCACCGAACTTACGCTCCGACTCTGCCCAGCTCGAGCTGGGATCCGTCTCTCCCGCTCAGGCATCATCTCGACCCCGAAGATGCACAGCCGGCGGCGACGCGGCCCCGAGCATGCAGGTCAGCGCAGGAGCCGGGGTGTCAGGGCCTAGCGAGCAACGGACCATGTGCGGGCAGCATCTCTCGGTGCGCCCCTGACCGCGCCTCCGGGAAGCCGCGACCCTGAGCCCGACGGCTCGGCATCCAGCCCCTGCCCTTGGCGGCTCAGAGGGGGCGGCAGAGGTGAGCCTGAGAGGGGAGAGGGTGAAACTCGGACCCTGATCCACACCTCGGCCGAGCCGGGCTCCCCTAGCGGGTCTCCGCCGCCTGGGGCCGGTGCGCTTCGGACGGGGTCCTCGGGCTCCGGCGAGTGCTCGGAGAGCGGGCAGAGCTGCGCGGACCTCGGCGGGGGATGCAGTTCGCTCACTGCCGCGGCTCTGGGCAAAGCCCCTCACTCTCGGCTCCCGGCTCCCGGGGCGCCGCAGCTTGAGCGCGAGGGGACGCCGCTTTAGGACGATCGATCAGAGATCGATGGGAGGCGCTGGGAACTCCTATTGGCCTCCAACGGGCGGCTGGGGGGCGGGAGCGTTGGCGTGGGGGCTTCCAGTGGGAAAGGGGACCCCCCCAGGGTGGGCGTGTAAGGCTGTCAATCACAGGCCACGCCTCCCGCCACACCTCTCACCAAGGCTCCGCCCCTATAGGTGGTACCAGGGCCCGCCACGCCGAAAAAAAAAATTGTCCCCTCCCCCGGAGAGCCTATTGGCTAAAGGGCCGTGGGAAGCTACTGGCAGAAACCAATAAAAATACATATATGCCCTGTGGGGCGGGGGCAGAGCCTCAAGAGCCAATAGAGAAGCGAGACAGCGAAGCGCTTCCTGAGTTCGGGGGTCGGCGAAGATGGCGGCCGCCGAAGGGGTTTGGTGCCTCTGCGGACTATTAAGGTGAGAAGCCTTCGACGTGGGATCGCAGGGTTTTTTCTGTTTAGCGGTGCTTCTAGTCACTTTCTGTAACCGGAGTTTGAGAGAAAGAGCTCTTCATTTCACGAAACTAGGCTATTTTCTCAATGTGTTCTTCCATTGCCTCTGGGGTCTTCTAAGTATATTAGATCAGACAGGCTAAAGACAGATCATATGATCTGCGTTTGCTCCGGCAGCCCCTCGACTGGTCCAGGGATTCCAGGGATCGAGTTTCTGTCTCTGCTCCACGTTTTTTTCCCCCTCTTTTCCGTACGTTAATTTAACCTATCATAAGTTATTCATATTCACTTTTCACTTTTACAATTGAATCCCGAATTATCTTTTTTAATCACGCCCTCTTTGGGTTTAAAAACAAAAGCGAAGCAGATCTCTCTCCTTTGTTTCCTTCCCCCTTTTCATTCAACAAAACTGTCATTGTTGACATATGTCACACATACTGTTTGTGGAGACTCCTCTGCTTCTTGACAATCGACCCCGTCGTGATTGGTGTAAAAATAACCATCTAAATCAAGAGACATCTTAGGAAGTTTGGAAGTTTTCCATTCGGTCAGCAAATGTTTATCGGATGCCTGTGTGAGGCTTGACATAGCTGATGCACGAGCTTGGTCTTTTTGCTCAGTTTCAAGCCGACCTCACTGCTAAGAAAAGCTTTCAGCTATGCCGTGGGGACTGGACCTTTTAACCCATTCGTGAATTTTTTGGCAACTAAAGAGCTACATGAAAGAAAGCAGTGGTTTTAGAGTCATGTCGCCATATCAAATGTATAACTTTTAATAGAACTGGGAAATCTAAATTTCATTTCTCTTATCCCAGAAATAGATAAACTGGAAATGAAGAAAGAGAATAAATACTGACTCATTCATGGGTCATTTTTCTTTTTTAATGTAGGAGTACTGCTATTTATTTAGCCATTTATTAAGCTGATTGAATTGGGCATGAACTCCACATTAAAAAATATTTTTTAATTGGGCATCCATGAGATAGACCATTACAAAGCTGTCATAACTGGGTTTCAGTCATACAGTGATCCAGCACCCATCCTTCCACCAGTGTACATTTCCCACTAAAAATGTACCCCTGTTTCCCCACCACATCCCCCAACCCCCTGTCCCCCACCCCACCTCCCTCTATGGGAGACTCTTTCCTTCTTGCTCTCTCTCCTATTTCTTTTATGCATTATGGCTTGCAATATAGGTGCTAAGAGGTCATGGTGTTTGTTCAGGGCATTCGGTGTTTTTGTCGGGATGGTAAGGCTGGAATAGCTTTTCAATTGGGTGGGCACTTTGGGTTGTGGATGTGACTGCCAAGACCTCTGGAAATACAGGGAGGTGGAGGAAGGCAGCCCATCCCGACCCCAAGAAAGCCTGGAGATTTCAGTAACAAAACCCACATACCAACATTTTCAGCAGATTACATCTTGGTGAGGTCTGTCCTGAGACAGTGGAGTTATCTCTCCCCCTCCACCCCCCACCCCTTGCCAGTGATTTTGGATTGTGAAAGCAAGCAGCTGCTGGGAGCTCTACTTGGGTGGGCACAGGCCAAACCCCCCCACCCCCCCCATCCGCCAATTTACCCCAGTGTGTTCAGCCATGTGTAGAACCAAGCTTAACTACGGCTTTATGATCTCTTTCGAGATTTATTTATGGGTCTGGTCTGTGAAGCAAGGCCGATAGTAGAGCTTACCGAGTGGCACTGGAGTTGTTTCGTGGGGGTGACTGTCAGTGCTTATTGTGAAATGGGGGGAGGTAGCCCATCCCAACTCCAAGAAAGCTTGGAGATTTCAGTCACAACACCTGCATACCAGAATTTTCAACAACAGGTTATATGTTGGTGAGGTCCGTTCTGAGACAGTGTAGTCAAGCTGGGAATATGGCAGCAATTTTGGATTGTGGAAGCAAATGGCTGCAGGGGGCTTGGCTTGGGTGGGCCACCGGGCTAACCCATCCCCCTCCAATTTACACCAGTCTGTTCAGCCATGTGTGGGTCCGAGATTACCTGTGGCTTTTGATCTCTTTTGAGATTTGTCTATGGGACTCTAAAATAAGGCCAGTAAATGGGCTTTTATAGCTGAGCTGGAGGTGGTTTGTGGGCATGGCTCCCACATACCTAACTTTTGGTCATTTAATTTCTTGGTAAACTTGTTCCCAAGTTGTTGGGGACTGGCCAAAGGCACAGCGGCAATTTTGAGGTATCAGGAAGCCTGAAGGCACCATCAGGCAGCTCATGCACTCGCCCCATGCGTACAGGTTGACCTGTTGGCAGCACCATACCCCTGGGACATTTTTCTTTGGTTTCATGTTGTCATTTGGGGGCGAGATGCCATTCTACATCATGGCTTGTTTAGCTTAATAAACTTCTTTTTAATTCCCTAATACATCCACTGCAGAGAAAGGTTTTTATTGTTGTTTAAGAATAAAAAGAATATTAAATTGCTTATATGCTATAGAGGTTGGAAATAAAAGGGACTTGCACTTTCAATATTGAATATTTAGTAACAATTAGACTTGAAAAGTAAAATGTTTTATTAGAATTCCCAAGGTATAAAAATTTCCCCTCTTAGATGCTAATGTGTAAAGTGAATATGTAAAAGTAGAATTTGTAGTTTTTTTTTTTTATGAACATTCTATTGATTTTCCCCTTTGTCCTCTTGTTTCAGGTTTTTTTATTCATTATTGTTCCCTGGGCTAATAGTGTGTGGAATTTTATGTGTGTGGTTGGCCATTTGTCTTTGGGGAATTAGACTACTGCTACAGAGAAAGAAAAAGTTGGCGTCAACCAGCAAAAATGAGAAAGATCAAATGGTGATTGCATTTTTTCATCCTTACTGTAATGCTGGTGGAGGAGGAGAAAGAGTGTTATGGTGTGCTTTAAGAGCCCTGCAAAAAAAGTAGGTATGCATCTTTTTTAAGCTTATTTGCTCTATTGTTACCATATTTTAACAATCTGTACCTACAGTGCATCTCTTTGAGTACCTTCTTCATAGCCAGGGATTTCTTGTATAGTCTTCAGTAAGAAAATATTTCTCTCATATGCCATCTTGCCTTTATAATCCCATTGAGTTTTAATGTCAAGAAATGGAAATTATCTTTGGGCAATACCCCGTTGTGACATAATTTAGTCACTGTGGTAGAGTGTTTGAAGAGGTTAAATAAAAAACAGAAATATATATAAATACTGTGAAGCACTTCTTAAATCAGTGGTGGCTTGCAGGGAGTATGTCTCCGAAAGTGCCTTTATGATATCACTGTCATTTTAATAGTCTTAAATTATGGCATTAAAGGGAATAGAGTTTTACACATCATCGAATGTTTTAAGCTTCCTCCTCTCCACCCCAAAGTATTTATGATTTCCTTTTAAAAAAGAAAAGCATAATAATTAATACTATTTGTTCCTTAACATTTTTTTGGTTTTCATTCATTCTCCAGGATGCTCAGAGGCTGTTCCCTGCACTTTGCAGGAAATGTGTAGGGAAGAGAAGTGTAGTAAGATTCCAGCTTCATTATTATTTTATCATATGTGGAGAACTTACCTCTCTTTGGTACCCAACTCGCTACCACGAACCTTCACTCAATTCCATAGCCTTCACAACATAGCTCCCTTAGCTCAACTTTTCTGTATTCTCTTCCCATCCTGACTTCCAGTCACTACCCCAGGATTTCTTCCACTATATTTGGTAACTCCAAATTCTCTCAATACAGAGAATTGTCTTAAGTCTGAGCTTAATTTCCACCTTCTCAAAGGTTTCCCTTCTCTAATCCATACCGTTCTTGTCTCATAACTCCGTCCAATACCACTGCCTCTTTAAATGGATTATGTAGGTTTGGAGCTCAGTACTAAGATCTGATTGTATCTGTACACATACTCCCCAGCAAACCTTACATGCTGCTAAATCAAGGGAAAAATCCAGATATTATATGCCATGGAAGATGCTTTTTCATCTTGCTCCTGATGCATTTTTTTCCCCTCATCCTCCATTCTGTCACATATACATTACTCTAGCATGCTAAACTGGAGGCTTATGCATTCTGAATTCCTTGCACTTTTTTGATAACCAAATAATATTCCATTGTTTATATAGTCACTCCTCACTGGCATTTCAGTTACTATATATGACAATGGTCCCAATATACTGTATACACTGAGTATTTTACATACTCTATACTAAATGGTGTTGGTGTGCAGAAGGTTATACAGTCTAGGTGTTTGGTGTTATATTCTATAACATTGGCATACAGTGAAACATCTAATGGCATATTTCTTAGAGCATATCCCTGTTATTAAGCAACACATAACTATATATACACCACATTTTCTTTATTCGTCTATCAGTGACATTCAGATTGTTCAAGTTGTTTCTGTATCTTGGCAATTGTAATGGTGGAGTGAACACAGGGTACCAAATTTTTCCAAGTTAGTGTTTTCCTTTTCTTAAACAAAAAAACCAGTAGTGGAATTGCTGTTCTATGGTATTTTTATTTTTAATTTTATGAGGAAATGCATTTTTTGAAATCATAGTGACAACACCAATGTATTTTCCTACCAAGTTCAAGAAGTCCCTTTTTCCAAATCCCACTGACTATTTTATTTCTTGTCTTGCAAAGATATGAGGTGATATCTTATTGTGGTTTTGATTTGCAATTCCTCAATGTTTGGTGAAGCTGAACATTTTTTCATAAACTTATTAGTCATCCTTTTTTTTGGGGGGGTCACACCCGGCAATGCACAGGGGTTACTCTTGGCCACTCAGGAATTACCCCTGGCGGTGCTCAGGGGACCATATGGGATGCTGGGAATTGAACCCGGGTCGGCCGCATGCAAGGCAAACGCTCTACCCGCTATGCTATTGCTCCAGCCCCAGTCATCTGTTTTTTTTTTTTTTATTTGATAAAATATTCATAGCTTCTTGGGGCCAGAGAGATAGTACAGTGGGTAAGGTATTGCCTTGCATGCCTTGCCTTGCATGCTGCTGACCCAGGTTCCATCCCTACCACCCGATATGATCCCCTGAGCATTGCCAGGTGTGATCCCTGAGTGCAGAGCCAGGAATAACCTCTGAGTACCATTGGCCCAAAAGCAAAAAAAAAAAAAAAAAAAAAAAAGTTCATACCTTTTGCCCACTTTTTAACCAGAATTTGGGGGTTGGGGGAGTTGAGTTTTTTTTTTTTTTGAGGTTTTGGGTGCTGTTGTCTTCACTTTTGAGTTACATGATTTCTTTCTGTGTTTTGAATATTGCCCTTTTCTATGATTGCAAATATTTTCTCCCACTGTAGAGATTACCTCTTCATTTTGTTGATTTTATTTGCCATTCAGAAGTTTTCTTGTTTGATGTTATTTTACCTATTTTTTGCTTTTGTTGGCTGTGATTTTGGTATCATTTCCAAAAAAATTATTGCCAAGTCCAGTGTTAGGATACTTCCAGTCTAAATTTTCTTCTGCTTTTTTTTTTATGTAGGAGTACTGCTATTTATTCAGCCACTGATTAGCTGATTGAATTGGACATGAACTCTACCTTACTTTTTTTTTCATAATTTTATTTATTCATTTTTTTCTTCTTATATTTATTTATTGAATCACTGTGGGAAAAGTTACAAAACTTTCAGGTTTAAGTCTCGATCATACAATGATCAAACACCTTTCCCTTCACCAGTACTCATTTTTCACCACCAAGAACCCCGTTATACCACCCTCCCAACCCTCCCAATGCCTGTGAAGCAGATGATTTCTACTTAACTCTCTATCTACTTTGATTGCATTCATTATTTCGACAGAAGATGCACCATTATTGTTTAGAATATCCCCTCCAACAATCAGAATTGCTGAAAAGGCATTGTGAAATACTTTGTTTTCTATAGCTGGTATGAGAAACACATAATGTCACACGGCCATAAAAGCAGCCACGCAATCTTCTGCTTTTTATACTTTGGAAAAAACTGTTCTGGCTACTGGGGTCTCAGGAAAGAGGAAAACACTGACAGTCTTACATACTTCATTCATGTAATTTTACCTTATCTAATTATGATGCAGGTACAAGATCTACCTTAAAACTTTTAGTATTGGGGGGCTAGAGAGATAATACATAGGTAAGGTACTCACCTTGCACATGGCTGATCAGATTTGATCCCCAGCGTCCCAGCATCCTGTATGGTCCTGTGAACACTGCCAGGAGTGATCCCTGAGTGCAAAGCACTGCTAGGTGTGGCCCCAAATCAGAAAAATCAAAATAGTTTGCATTTCTTAGATAAAAAACACTGACTAAAGTTTTTTTTTTTAATTGAAAGTTTTATTAGTGAAACACCATGAGGTACAGTTGTAGACTTACAAATTTTTATGCTTGGGTTTCAGTTATACAATGATTGAGTACCCATCCCTCCACCAGTGTCCATTCACCACCACCAATGCTCCCAGAGTCCCTCCCACCTCCCCATCTCCCCATCCCACCCCACCCTTGTGGCAGGGCATTCCCTTTTGTTAACTCTCTCATTTTGGGTGCTGTGGTTTGCAAAAGAGGCATTGAGTGGCAGTCATGTTTGGTCTATAATCTACTTTCAGTATGTATCTCCCATCCTGGGAGTATCCTCCCAACACCTTTATTTGGTGCTCCCTTCTCTATCTGAGCTGCCTTTTCCCCTAGCACGTGCAACTGGCCTCCAAGCTATGGAGTGAACCTCCTGGTACTTATCTCAGCTATTCTTGGGTGTTAGTCTCCTATTTTGTTACTTTATATTCCCCAGATGAATGCAGTCTTTCTATGCCTGTCCCTTTCTTTCGGGACTCCCCTTCACTCCTGGTGGTAATGCTGACTGGTTCAGCCCTTTTTGAAAACAATAAGGACGATTCTCAAAAAAATTAGAAATTGAGCTCTCATTTGACCCAGGTATACCACTCCTGGGAATTTATCCCAGAGAGGCAAAAAAGTACAGTCAAAATGACATTTGCACTTCTATGTTCATTGCTTCTCTATTCACAATAGCCAAAATATGGAAAAAACCCGAGTGCCCACAAACAGATGACTGGCTAAAGAAACTTTGGTACATCTACACAATGGAGTACTATACAGCTGTTAGAAAAGATGAAGTCATGAAATTTACATACAAGTGGTACTACATGGAAAGTAGCATGCTAAGTGAACTGACTAAAGTTTTAATGTATCCTATCTAACAAATGGCTTAGTGAATTTTAACTATTATATTTTTAAACATTTCTCTATTATTTTTATACTGAGAAAATTGTTATAATAAAAAATTTAATGTTTTAATAAAATTAAAACATCTTGTAGTTTTGGTTATGAGTCATACCCAGCAGTTCTCAGGGTTTACTCCTGACTATGCTCGGGGATGATTCCTGGCAGTACTCAGGTGACTATATAGGTTGACATAGGTGGGACAGGGGTCAGCTCTGTGCAAAGCAAGCACCTTCACCTCTCTACTAGTTCATCTGCACTGCACTGTAGCACTGTCCTCCCATTGTTCATCGAGTTGTTCAAGCGGGCACCAGTAACGTCTCCATTGTGAGACTTGTTACTGTTTTTGGCATATCGAACACGCCACAGGGAGCTTGCCAGACTCTGCTGTGCAGCTGGGTTACTCTCGGTAGCTTTCCGGGCTCTCCGAGAGGGATGGAGGAATGGAACCCGGTCAGCTGCATGCAAGGCAAACGCCCTACCACTGTGCTATCGCTCCAGCCCACTAGCTCATCAGCCCCTAAAAAATCTTATTCTTATCGGCAGTTTTTGTTGATTCCCATTCTCTATGAAACACTTAGTATAGGAATTCACAAAGAACTAAGCATCTCATTTGGAAGAAAAACATTTTAGTTGAAAGATAGTAGAAAATGCAGGAGAGAATAGGATCAGTAACCCCAAGATAAGATTCTTTATGACCATGAAAAAATAATTATTTACAACTTTTTGCCTGATTTGAACCTAAACAAATGAAACTCTGTTGTGTTCCATTCTAGGTATCCTAAAGCAACTTATGTTGTTTATACTGGTGATGCTAATGTCACTGGTCAGCAGATACTAGAAGGAGCTGTTCAAAGATTTAACATCAGATTAACTCACCCAGTGAAGTTTGTTTTCCTGAAGAAACGCTACCTTGTGGAGGATTCGCTCTATCCTCACTTCACCTTACTGGGCCAAAGTCTAGGCTCCATTTTTCTTGGCTGGGAAGCTCTGACGCAGTGTGTTCCTGATGTTTATATCGATTCGATGGGATATGCTTTCACTCTTCCTCTGTTTAAGTATTTAGGTGGTTGTCAAGTTGGAAGCTATGTTCATTATCCCACTATCAGCACAGATATGCTCTCCGTAGTGAGGAATCAAAATGTGGGTTTTAATAATGCAGCTTTCATTACTCGGAATCCTTTTCTCAGCAAACTGAAGCTCATCTATTATTACTTATTTGCTTGTATTTATGGGCTTGTTGGTTCTTGCAGTGATGTAGTCATGGTCAATTCTTCTTGGACTCTAAACCATATTCTCTCACTCTGGAAGGCTGGAAATCGCACTAACATTGTTTATCCGCCTTGTGATGTGCAAACATTTCTGGACATCCCTTTGCATGAGAAAAAGACAAACCCAGGACATTTATTGGTTTCTGTTGGTCAATTCAGGCCAGAAAAGAATCACCCTTTGCAGATCAGAGCCTTTGCTCAATTGCTGAAGAAGAAGGTGGCTGAGTCCTTTCCTTCCCCGAAACTTGTCCTCATTGGAGGTTGTCGCAACCAAGATGATGAACTTAGGGTAAATCAACTAAGAAGACTGTGTAAGGATCTCGGCATTCAAGATGATGTGGAATTTAAAGTAAACATCCCATTTGATGAATTAAAGGATTACTTAACTGAAGCAACAATAGGTCTGCATACCATGTGGAATGAACATTTTGGAATTGGTGAGTTTGTTCTTTTAAATTTTTTGTTTAGTACCATTAAATACACATTTTAGATTAACTTGATCAAATGATGATACTCTGGAAGTTTTCATTAACACTAATCCTCTTTCCCTCATTCACTAAGTCTTTTGAGGTTTCGTAAGACATAAAAATACATGTTCTATAATAATAGCTAATTTTTATCACACTCACTTTTTTTTTATCACACTCTATGGAGTCACTTTTTAAGATCTTTACAAATACTATCTGTTTTGTTTAAACTGCCTTGCCTTTAATTTAGCCTTTTGGTTTATCCCAGGAAAACAGGAGAGGGAACAGGTGGAATCTACTTTGATTATGGATTATGCACACATTTCGGCACTGTTTGCTATCTGAGACAAGTACTATTGTGTAGCTAATTTTATTCAACATGTATTTCTCAGGTGCCTCAGACTGCCATAAGTTAAAGGAAAATAGGAAAACATAAAAGTGAAGTATCTGTACTCCAATTTCACTCATACTCTCTTCTATGCCTACTTAGTAGCGGGAGACTCAGCCCAGTCTTACATGTGGACCCTTGCTAGTGGACCCAAACCCTCAGCATTTCCTGTGCTTCATTTCCCTGGTTCAGAACAAATATTTCCAGTACCCAGCCCTTAGTGGGTGCCAGGGCTATTGCTGCGCCATGGGAGCTGTTGGAGGCTTCCCGCTCTGGTGATGGGACAGTCATCTGTGCAGTGCAGAGTGCCCTGCTAGGGAAAGGACCCAAAAGCATCACCTGCCATAGAGGTGTGGACTCGTGAAACAGTTGCACCAGAAAATGGTGTGAACCGGGATCAGGAGTTAGCCCTGCGGAGGACAGAGTATCAGTCATGACAGAAGAGCATTAGAGGCCTCTTCTGGGACTGGCATGAACAGCTGGACAGACCCTGGAGAGGTGCTCCGAGGCCACATCAGCCTGTGGGAAAAGATGGAAGAATTTCAAGTCTCAGTTGAAAAGCTTCCTGTGTCTTGATGTTTACTTTGCTGTCACGTGAGGAGCTGGGTTGGCGAGGAGCCATGCCAGGCTGCTGTGAATCCTCTGAGCTGGCCACGGGAACATGCTTGAGGGGGACTATGGAGTCATGTTGAACAGGACAGTGGGTTTTTTGTTTTTTTGTGGTTTTTTTTGGCTTTTTTGGGTCACACCCGGCAATGCACAGTGGTTACTCCTGCCTCTGCACTCACGAATTATCCCTGACGGTGCTTAGGGGACCATATGGGATGCTGGGAATCGAACCCGAGTTGGCCGCATGCAAGGCAAATGTCCTACCCACTGTGCTATTGCTCCAGCCCCGGACAGGACAGTGTCAAGGAAAGAAGAAAGGAGTCAGGTACAGCTGCCCAGTGCCCTGGTTTGGGTCACCAGGAACCATGTAGACTTCACGTAGCAAAGGAATCCAAGAGGAGAAGCAGTTGATGAGCCAGGTTTGGGGCAGGCACATGTATTGTGGTGAGATTCAGAAGTACAGGAAAGGGACCTAATTGAGAAACAGGGCTGCAGCCTCCGTGGAGGTGAATAGGATTGGCTGGGGAAGGGGCATGAGGCGAGACCCATTGTGCAAAACACTGAGAAAGGTCAAGAGATGGGGAACAGGTGGAAAGCCGATGGGCCCGCTGTCCTGGAGAGCTGGGAAGACAGGGAAGGACAGCAGAGTCCCGGGCTGCCCAGGTCGTGGGTGACAACTGCCAGAGACTGGCTACAGCAGTGTCCTTGGAGGAGAGGGAGAAAGAGGCCAGTGGTGGCAAGTTGAGTCATTGTCACTGTCCTCCCGTTGTTCATCGATTTGCTTGAGCGGACCCAGTAACGTCTCTGTTTTGAGACTTGTTGTTACTGTGTTTTGGCGTATTGAATACGTCCCAGGTTGCTTGCCAGGCTTTGCCGTGCAGGCGAGCTACTCTCGGTAGCTTGCTGGGCTCTCCGAGAGGGGTGGAGGAATTGAACCCGGCTCGGCCGGGCTGGCTGCACACAAGGCAAATGCCCTACCTGTTGTGCTATTGTTCCAGCCCAGCAAGTTGAGTAAATACTTTAAATGACTATGATTGTTTAAAGAGGAGGTGAGCAAGTAGAGTTAGTGCGTGCAAACCATACTTCCCCTTGGTGTATCTGAAAGGGAAATGAAAGGAGAGACCATAGCTAGACCATAGCTAGAAGAGGATTTGTGAATGGAGAGGAGTAAGAAAGAGAGAGCAGAGAGAGGGTGAGAAGGGAAGAGAGAGGGAAAGGGGGGGGGGAGAATGTTGGCTTGTTTCTATTTTGATTTTATGAGTTTTAATTAGGGTAGAGCGTTTGCCTTGCAAGAGGGCTTGATTTTGGGGTTGGAGCGATAGCACGGTGATAGGGCGTTTGGAGCATAGCAATATGGAGCGATAGCACAGCGGTAGGGCGTTGGCTTTGCAAGCGGCAAACATGGCCTACCCGAGTTCGATTCCTCCGCCCCTCTCGGAGAGCCCAGCAAGCTACCGAGAGTAGCTCGCCTGCATGGCAAAGCCTGGCAAGCTACCTGTGACGTATTTGATATGCATAAAACAGTAACAAGAAGTCTCACAATTTGTTATAAGATGTTACTGGTGCCCGCTCGAGCAAATCGATGAACAACGGGAGGATGGTGCTATAGTGCTACATGGCAAAGATACTGGCCAGGTCATTTACACTCATCTACATCATTTGAGAGAAACAACCAAAACTTTCATAGAGCTCAGCCTTGCAGTTTCTTAGATAACATTGGTTTATCCTTGCTCCTCCTGCAGGGAGCTTAGGTTTATTGAGCAGCTCCCACAACAGTGCTCCTGAGGCATACTCAATTCCATCAGGCACTAATATCCTATATTGCTTTTTGCTTTTCTTTATGTCCTTTGCATGGTTTAGTAATGCCCTTTTAGACACAGGAAGACAGTTAATGCTGTGCTTTTGTAACATGGGAGTTAATTTGCTCTGAAATAATATTTACTCCAGGGCATCCATCATATTTACCTGACTTTAGCCTCAGTTGCCCTTACTTCCTAACACCCCCCAAAAGAGAGTCCCAATGAGGGACAAGGATGGACCCAGGACAAGCTGTAAACTACCCTGGCATCAAAAAGGGACAAGCTAAGTGCCATAAGAAACATAATAAGTTAAGAGCACAGTCATAAACAAACTCTGTCATGACCCAAAAGAAAGTAACTTAAGAAGGACCCTGCTGGGGTTAGGAAAGACTAACCTTGCCTGTGGACTGCAGACTGAGATATGTAGTGAGATGTCCCCAGGAGGTGCCAACCTTTAGCATAATATATCTCTCATTGTGTTTATACAAAACAAACAAAACAAACACTGTCCTCCCGTTGTTCATCAATTTGCTCGAGCGGGCCCAGTAACATCTACATTTTGAGACTTGTTGTGTTTGGCATATCAAATATGTCATGGGTAGCTTGCCAGGCTCTGCTGTGTGGGCAAGATACTCTCGGTAGCTTGCCGGGCTCTCCAAGAGGGTAGAATCTGGCTCGGCCGGATTGGCTGTGCGCAAGGCAAATGCCCTACAAAGCGACTAGAAAGAAGTAAATTTACTATAATTGTTTAACTGGATTACTAGCTGAGGAAAGGAGAAAGCAATACATCCTATATGGAATCCCACCTTTGAGTGAATCTCCTAGTAATCTAGATAGAGTGCTGAACCCTCAGATTAGATTAACTCCTTGAGTTAATCTCCCAGAACTTCCCCTGAAGGAGGGGCTCTACATCTGTTTATTGTTATGATAATGTTCATCCCCACCTATGTGTACCTCCACTCTTCATGGTTTCTGTATAACTATGCTGTAAGGAAGGAAGGGGAGAGATCTTAACTATGCTGGGGAATAATGACACTGTGATAGGAGCAAAGGAGAAATAAGGACGCTGTAGAAGAAAATAACTACACGGGGGAAGAAACAACTATGCTGAGGAGAATGAAGCAGTAGGGATGAAGATGAGAATGGAATAAACAGTCCCTGATTACCAACCAGCCTGGGGCCCTATTCCTCCATTCCCCCATTGCCCCAACCTTTGTCCATCTGTCCATCCATCGCCATGGGCCAAGGGGAACAGTTCTCAGCCACTGAACGCTCACATCCCTCGCACCACACTCTTTGAACTCATTTAATTGTACACAGTCATCTCAGATTTGCCAGAATTCCAAACAAGTAAATACCAGCACTAGTGTCCTACACTAAGGTGACTGGCCTTTCCTTTTTTTCTTCTAATGCTGCCATCTGATCTCTTAAAATTTGACTTTTGATAATCTTTTTACTCCTTTTCTCTTCCAGTCCATTAATTATCTACCTTCTGGCAGGCATCAGGCTTCATTATCCACAGTGTTTTCTAGACTATTCCTCCATAACCTGTCAGTTTTCATTAAGAACCAAGCAATATTATTGTGATGTTTTGGAAGATAAAAAACTAAAAATTCTAGCTGAGATCAGCACCAGGAGGATTACTCCATAACTTAGAGGCCAGCCGGGTATCCTAGAGGAAAGGGCAGTTCAGATAGAGAAGGGAGCACCAAATAAAGGGTGTTTGGAGGATCCTCCCAGGAGGGGAGATGCATGTCGAAAGTAGACTATGGACTGAACATGTTTGCCACTCAGTGCCTCTTTTGCAGACCACAACACCCAAAAGGAGAGAGAGAACACAGGGGATTGCCCTGCCACAGAGGCAGGGGGGGATGGGGGATGGGGGTGGGGGGATATTATCCATGGTGGTGGAAAATGGGCACTGGTGGAGGGATGGGTATCTGATCATTGTATAATCGAAACCCAAGCACAAAAAATTGTAAATCTACAACTGTTAAAAAAAAAGAAACAAACAAACAAAAAAAAACCTAAAAATTCTTTACATCATGAAAGTTAAATGATCAAATTTGTGAGCATATAGATATTTAATGACATCTCACGAATCTCTTAAAAATTTCAAAAAAAAAACAACAAAAAATTGAAAGAGTTTTGTTCATCTGTGTTTTCATGACCACGGAAACTTAAAAGCTAATATGATTGTGTTTTCTCAGGACTTGTTGAGTGCATGGCAGCTGGCACGATTATACTTGCCCACAATTCAGGGGGTCCAAAGCTTGACATTGTGGTTCCTCATGAAGGGAATATAACTGGCTTTCTGGCCGAAAGTGAAGAAGGATATGCTGAGACGATGGCTCATATTCTTTCCATGTCTGCGGAACAGAGACTTCAAATCAGAAGCAATGCCCGCGCATCGATAAGCAGATTCTCCGATCAGGAGTTTGAAGTGACATTCTTAGCATCTGTGGAAAAGTTGTTTAAAGATTGCCATGTCCATACAAACTAAAGCATTTAATATAAACGATCAAATGCCTTCATATGTTAATATTTTTCTTAAGTCATGCCCTACTGTAATAAAGTCAACCGAAGCAATGCTTTCAGCAACATGTATTAAAAGCAAAGTATTTATTTTCATGAAAAAGGGAAAAATTACTTAATGGGCAAAGGTTATCTTAATAGGTTAGTATTTGGTCTCAAAATTCTGAAAGTTATGAGTCTAAAAAGGAAAAGTGAATGATTTAATGTTGCATAATTCATACATACCAAATGCTATGTATGAAATTGTTTTACTTTAAAAACCAAAAAAAAAAATTATTTCTTTTTAGAAAAAGGAAATGTTGAAAGAAAACTGATCATTGGTAATTGATTAGACCTTTAGAATTGTACTAACATTATGGAACAGAAGACTTGGGACCAGAGAGGTAGTAGAATGGGTAGGGCATTGCCTTGCACGTGACTGACCTGGATTCAATCCCTGGCATATCATATGGTCCCCCGAGCACCGCGAGGAGAAACCGCTGAGCATCACCAGATGTATTCCAAAAATGAAAAACAGAGAGAGAGAAAAGAAATTTTAGGTAGGCTTAATCTTGTTCACTAGCCACAGACTAACTGTATTTGCGGTAGCAGTGTATGGAGAGCCAAGGTACCGCCGGAAATCCCTTTTATACTGAAGGGCTTGTGAGAATAGTTGAATAGTGCTTGGCGCTATCAGTACATCCATCCCTGCCTTTCTGAGTCCTTTATATTGCCTCAATTTTGAGGCTAGACATCACTTTTGGTTTTGTATGAATCAAGTTCTATTGATTTACTCCTTGTTTATTATATTGTAAAATTTCAGGCGTGCAGTTGCACCCCTTCTATACATGTGTCTCCTACACGCCCCCCCCCCCCATGCCCTTCCAGTGTTCCAGGGCCATCACACCAGCACAGTGGCCTTCTATTCATGCTTCTCATCACCCGTGCTCTCTGGGAACCACCAGAGTTTTCACTGAGTCATTTTTGTTGCCTTTTGCCAGTTTGTTTGCTTTGTTTGTTTATATTCCAAAGAAGAGAAAGCTTCCCATAAATGTCTTTCACTTCCTGATTATTTCATCTAGCACTATCACTTCATATTCCATTCACATGGTTGCAAAAAGGTGCAGATGATTTCATCTTTTTCAGCAGCCAAACATTCCATTAAAATCTGTTACACCATAGAGAAGGGGTCACTAAGTCAGTGATAATTGGTGGGATCGCTCAGGATGGGAGATGTGTGCTGAAATTAGATAAAGGACCAAATGTGATGGCCTCTCAGTATCTGTATTGCAAATCATAATGCACCAAAATAGAGAGTAAGGAGGAAATTGTCTTCCACAGAAGCAGGGGGAGGGGTGGGATGGGAGAGGCAGGAGGGATATTGGGAACATTGGTGGTGGAAAATACACACTGATGGAGGGATGGGTGTTCAATCATTGTATGACTGAAACTCAAACATGAAAGCTTTGTATCTGTAGCTCATGGTGATTTGATATACATAAATACATAAAATAAATAAAATTTTTTAAAAAAATCTGTTACACCAACTTCCTGGTCAAGTCACCCATCATAGTCATCTTGCTCAGTTTCGTGTTTTAAATATTGTGAATGGAATTTCTAGAGCAAAGGAGTACATTTGTGAGGCTTTTGGGATTTTTGTTTGTTTGGTGGAGGGGTGGTACAGACTCATACCGAAAGGTGCTTAGAAATTGCTTCCAGCAGTACTTGGGGGATCATGTGCTAGGGTTTGGACCAGGCTCCCATATGCAAAGTTTGTGCTCCATTGAATCATCTTCCTCACTCCCATTTTGGTTCTTACGGATTTTTATTTATTTTTTGCAGTGTCTAGGACCAAACTCAGGTCTTACACTGTCAAGACAAGCTATCTACCACTGATCTGCACCCCAGGCTGTGATTTTAGCTTTTTCTAAGGATGCTCCATCTTCTTTCCCGTCGAGGCTACACCCTTTTACATTCCCAATAACAGTGTTCCAGAGTTCCTTTGTCTCTACACCCTTATCCACACCTCCCTACAAATAAGTGAACTTTAGCATTTTCCACATGCCATGAGCCACGTTTATGCTTTAAGTCATTTAAGACAGTGATCTCCAACCATGGATCTGCAGGGGTGCATTGGCGAGGAGAGCTATAGACTGCCTTGGTTGGAACTTCCTGTCTCTGTCAGGATGCAAACAGCTGGTCCACAGGTGTAAAATGATTGAAGAACACTGGTTCAAGAGGTACACGAGCACATCCCCAGCATATTGTTTTTCTGACCGTGATGATATAGCATACATCTCCATCCACATACTGTGTTAACAGCATCACAGTATTGTAAAATGGTGCTGTGGTATATTAAAATGAGCATTGGACTAGCAGAAACTAGCCTTGGCCTCAGTTCTCTCTTGTACAAGCATAGGACCTTGTGATACTAAAGTTGTTTCTGATTCTCAGATTGTTAGGCTCAGCTTCTCAATCATTTATAATCTGGACATGGTAATACCAGTCCTCATTGCCTTTTAGACTTGTGAGAGTAACAAGGAGAGGTATCAATATATAGCGAATGTCTTCTATAACCCTATCTTCTTCAGTGCATTATGATGATAGTCTTGGAACTAAGCCAAGTATGGAATCAATGTGTTGTTAATTGGCTTTCTCTCCTGAACAATTATTCATGAAAACATGAATAAGGTGTTCACAGATACGGCTACAGAGATATTCAACTTTTGGCCTTTTCTTCATACATACCTAGTTCATTTTATTTCGGTGCAATGACCTTCTTTCAAGTCTGGCACATCTTTGTGTTAAATTACTATGAGAGGCCTATTATTCAAACCTAACCACTTCTCATTCATTTATCCTTCTAGCCAGTCTCATCATCTACTCCCTGTTATAGTGTTGACTCATGTGCTTGACCCACCTCTGTCCTCAAATCAGAGAGCAACTAGAGTGGGCAGAATCCTGACACCATCATAGCTTTGTGCTAGAGATTGTTCAACTCACAGAAGAAAGACGGGTGGACACCAGCCTGAGAAGAAACCCCCCAAATTTTATCTTACTTTCACCTTTATCATAACAATATAAATAACTTAAGACTTTCCCAGTCTAACAAAGCTAATGTTTAATGACAAGATTGGGGTTATGTCGAATTTTTCTTTAGCTAGATTTTTGAGGTAAGATTCAGGCCATTGTCCACTTAGCCTGTCCAACTTCCCAGAGAAAATTGTGGAACAAAAACTAGAAAATTGAGATAGAAAAACAAAGTAGAGAACAGAGTAAAGGAAGAAAAGATCCTGAAATTTCATATAATGTTTTCTAAGGTGGTTTCTTCAAAATGATTGTCATTTATCACAGCCTAGAATTAGAAAACAGCATGTGTATATATTTTCACTCTTGTAGTTCCTAATGTGGAATTACACGTTTGTTACTAAGTGACTGGTACTATAAAAAATGTCAGAACAATATGTCAGGTCCTATTTGTCTGAACTATAAATTCCTGCAAGACTTTGTCTTTTAGTGCTCCAGACGCTGTTTTAGACCCGCAGCTATGGTGATTCACAATCTTATTTCTGGTTGTACATAATCAAGTTCATGTCACATGTTCTTTGTAATAGCAATTTATCTGAATATCAATTTGGACTAAATAAATACAAACACCTTTTATATCTAAATGTGATTTAAACAATGTCCTGTTTAAACCAAAGTGATCCATGGAAAGTAAATCATCCAACCTTTCTCCCTGAAAATCAGACTTAACTCTTTTGCAAACCACAACACCCAAAAGGAGAGAGAGAACAGAGGGGAATGCCCTGCCACAGAGGCAGGGTGGGTTGGGGGGAAGGGGGGTAGAAGGGATACTGGGATCCGTGGTGGTGGGAAATGGGCACTGGTGGAGGGATGGGTATTCGAAATAAATAAATAAATAATAAAAAATATATATTGAGAAAAAAATAAATAAATGTGATTTAAAGAAATGATTTTAATTATCTTAGATACTTTTCTACTATGATGTGTTTTATATCCTCAAGGATCCTCCTTCAAATAATTCTGAATTACTTATTATCTTTACTAATATTTCAAAGCTCCATCAGCCAGAGGTTTTTTTGTATTTTTGCTTTTTTGACATTCAAAAAAGGACTCCACACCAGGCTGTGAGGCAGGTGACGGCCCTCCCCACCCCAAGGGACCCGGCAGCTGACCTCCACTGCCCAACCACTGCCACGATCCAGGCTGATTTCCAGACACATTATAAGACACTTCCTACCCATTTATGCCTCTCGGAGAGCCCGGCAAGCTACCGAGAGTATCCCGCCCGCACGGGCAGAGCCTGGCAAGCTCCCCGTGGAGTATTTGATATGCCAAATACAGTAACAACAATAGGTCTCATTCCTCTGACCCTGAAAGAACCTCCAATAGTTGGGGAAAGACGAGTAGGAAGAGGCTGCTAAAATCTCAGAGCTGGGAGGAACAGAGACGTTACTGGCGCCCACTCAAGTAATTCAATGATTAATGGGATGACAGTGATACAGTGATAAAGTTTTTGTTTTTTTTTGTTTGTTTTTTTAATAGCACTGCACAGTAGCACTGTCCTCCCGTTGTTCATCGATTTGCTCGAGCAGGCACCAATAATGTCTCCATTGTGAGATTTCAGTTTTTGGCATATTGAATATATCACAGGGAGCTTACCAGGCTCTGCTGTGTGGGCGGGATACTCTTGGTAGCTTGTTGGGCTCTCTGAGAGGGACGGAGGAATCGAACCCGGGTAAACTGTGTGCAAGGCAAATGCCCTACCTGCTGTGCTATCGCTGTAGCACCATCTAATTTATTTTTCACATGAAAACCTTCAAATATCTGAGAGATAGTCCACTGAGTCCTGCATCTCTGGCTTAATATGTGGGAAGGTTCAGAGCATTGGGAAAATTTCAGTTTGTTCTTTCTCTAAGTTTTAGAAGTTATTTCAAGAAACAATTATACTTCTTTTTTGTGATATATTCTTTGACATAATCACATGTAGTATGTAATGGTTTCATAACTCAGTATCATCAGTACAGATTTTACCCACTGTCAGCATAGGTAAAGGTAAAGGTAAAGGCCCTCCCATTGATCGTCGATTTGCTCGAGCGGACCCAGTAACGTCTCCATTGGAGATTTTGTTGTTACTGTGTCTGGCATATCGAATACTCTCGGTAGCTTGCCGGGCTCTCCGAGAGGGGCGGAGGAATAGAACTCGGGTCGGCCATGTTGGCCGCTTGTAAGGCAAACGCCCTACCCGCTGTGCTATCGCTCCAGCATAAATGATATTTTTTCTCCAATTAATTGTTTTGTTGGAATCTGATAGGCGGGGCTGGAGCAATAGCACAGTGGGTAGGGCGTTTGCCTTGCACGTAGCCAACATGGCCAATACAGGTTCGATTCCCAGCATCCCATATGGTCCCCCGAGCACCGCCAGGAGTGATTCCTGAGTGCATGAGCCAGGAGTAACCCCTGAGCATCGCCGGGTGTGACCCAAAAAGCAAAAAAAAAAAAATGGGCAAAACAAAACAGTCTCTACTCTGGTACCCAAAGAAGAATCCATTGTCAAGTCTAATAGACTTTTATTTCAAATAAATGTTTCAGAATAATAAGCTTTATTTTTTTCATTTCATTTTCATCATCCTGTTAATCGTCGATTGCCTCGAGCAGGCCCCAGTAAACGTCTCTTTCATCCTAGCCCTGAGATTATATTCACGGCTCTTTAGGAGAATGAGACCCATCATTGTTAGTGGTATTTGGCATATTTGGTAGGCCACGGGGAGTTTGCCAGACTCTGCCCTGTGGGCAGGCTACATTCGATAGCCTGCAAGTTTGTCCAAAGTAGGAATGAGATAATAAGATGTCGCGCGGCCGCAAATGCGGCCGCGCGGTTCCGGGATCTGGATTTTATAGTCTCTGAGTCTTGGCCGCTGATGGGATTACACGGCGCCAGGGGGCCAGGTGGTGGGTGTGACCCCCGCCTACTGGAATTTGGAGGATCTGGGTGGAAGATGCTCGACTCCAAATCGAGTAGGCTTTGAGGTCTCGGCCCCGGAACCCGCGTGGCTTTGTCCCTCTGCCAGTACCTTCAGGTGTGCGGAGAGTGGTCTCAGCATGGTGGTGGCTGGTCCTGGAGGTCTTCGGCTGCCGTAGCCCTGGTCGGGGCGGGGAGGAAAGCTCAACCCGCTCCCCTCCAAGGGACTCCGGGAAGGAACACCCAGGCGTGGGGGCAGAGACTGCACTTTTCTCGTCCGGGATCTGGATTTTATAGTCTCTGAGTCTTGGCCGCTGATGGGATTACATAATAAGCTTTATTACCTGATTAAAAATTTCAGAATTATTGGACATCTCATACTTTGTGCCACTGATGTTCCAAAAGTAGCATACCATATTTGATGGGATGTAAAGTAGAAGGAAACTGATCTTGATAAAAATAAATAGATATTAGCACACAAGGCTTAACCTGTAATAACATGTTAGTGTTCTCTTATACAGGGGCTTAATGGCTCCAAGGTGAACTACAATCATTTTCACACACTTTGCTCTGAGAAAATCTTTTTGGGTCATTTTTTCAGATTATTCATAACAAGCAATACAAAATAAATTATTTAGGATAGGCCTTTGGGTCAGGCTTGGGTGGCAGTGGGAAAATTCAAAGTAATGGTGGTAGGATGGTGTCATGGTGGTGGGATTGGTGTTGGAATATTGAATGTAATAAATTATTGTGAACAACTTTATAAAAATAAAATGTTTTATAAAAAAGGCTTAAAAACACCAGTGGACACAATAATGTATACAAGATGGGTGTGTTGATTTAGGAGTTGAAGCAGGTTGAAAGAATTAAAAATCCTAAAATAAATGGTAAGGCTATGGATTTCTTTTTTTTTTAAATTTTTTTAGTGAAACACCATGAAGTACAGTTATAGACTTACAAATTTTTGTGCTTGGGTTTCAGTCACACAATGATCAAGTACCCATCCCTCCACCAGAGCCCATCCTCCACCACCACGGGTCCCAGCATCCCTCCCATCCCCCACCCCCCCCTTCCCACCCTGCCTCTGTGGCAGGGCATTCCCCCTTGTTCTCTCTCTCTCCTTTTGGGTCCTGTGGTTTGCAAGAGAGGCATCGAGTGGCAATCACGTTTGGTCTACAGTCTACTTTCAGCATGCTTCTCCCACCCTGGGAGGATCCTCACAACACACTTTATTTGGTGCTCCCTTCTCTATCTGAGCTGCCTTTTTCCCTAGCACGTGTGGCTGGCCTCCAAGTCATGGAGCAAAATTCCTGGTACTAATCTCAAGGCTAGGGATTTCTAAGGAAATCTGGCCAAGCATCTTGTACTGGAGCAAACCTAACATGCTAATCTTTAAATTCTGAATTTATTTACACATTCCTTTCTCTTCTTTGGTGGTGGGGGTGATGGGTGGGGAGCACACCCAGCAGTGCTCAGAGCTTACTCCTGACTCTGTGCTCATGAGTGATGGAACCTAGGGGCCGTATGTGTTGCCAAGGATAGAACCAGGCCATTTGCCTTTTTTTTTTTTTTTGACTTGGTCCTTAGAGCATTAGAGATTCAGGAACTGTGTTTCATTTCTTGTGTTTTCAGGATTGTTCAGTGTGAGGACACATGAAGACACTGGCAGATTTATCATGTATATCTGAAACAGATAATGCCATGAAAGTAAACATGTATATACTGGTGATTTTTAAAAAGTTTATGAGTAAGGGCTGGGAGATGGCTCAAAGGACTGGAACACTTGCTTTGCATACAGGAAACTAAGATTCAATTCCCAGCACTAGATGGTCCCTGAGCATTATCAGGTATGGCCCCTAAACAAAAACTAAAATAGTAAAATTAGTAACACTTCAATCCCTCAGGACCATGTGTTACTAAGAAATTAATACAGTGGTGAGAAACTTTTTAATATCTCCACCTTATGATGTAACCATCTTGCATTCTTTCCTAAAATACAAGAATATAATCCCATCACCACCAGACTTTATTTCACTTAAAATGTTTGCAGTAAGGTGGTGATATTTGATATAAGTAAGGACTATAAATCAAATATAGTCCTTTCAAAAAATTATAATCTACAGATTTGAAATGATTAAAAATAATTCAATTAAATAATTATTTAGTGCCTAATTAATATGACACCCCTTTTCCTTTCCTTGTTCATATGTTATTCCTATATCAATATCAGTTTCAAGAAGGTGTACAAAATTTAAGAAGTTACAAGAGATTTAGAAATTAGTTACAAGATTTAGTTACAAGATTTAGAAAATGGCAGAATCACTTTTATTTTTTAAATTTTTATTATTAAATCTCCATGAGATACATAGTTACAAAGTTGTTCATGATTGAGTTTCAGTGATAAATGGAACATTGTAGACTGAGAATCACTATTTTAAATGGTAGTCATATATTAAAAATTAAAATACTATCTTTTGTTTTCTATCTCACAAATGTAACACCTTAGAGTTCTGTCACTTCATTGCAAGCAACGTGGATTTCATTAAACTAAAATTAAACTTCATTAAACTAAACTCTATCAGCAGTGCTGTGTTCCTCCAGGGTTTAGGAGAATCTGGTTCTTGCCCTTCCCAGTTCCCAAGGCCCCAGTGTCCAGGTCTGCTTGAGCCTGTCCAACATCTGCAGCACGTCTCTCTCCTGCCACCATTCCTCTGGTTCTCTGTTCTGCTCACACCACCACCACCCCTTCTTGTGTTCTTAAGGACTCTTTTATGATACTGAATCCATCTGGGTAATCCAGGAAGCCTCCCTACTGTCACTAGTAGCTTTAAACCCCTCTGCCATGAAACACCCATTTTATGGTGTGCGGGAAGAGGAGACCCAGGACTCTGCTGACGGCGTATGTTTCTGGGAGATTTCTTAGAGAAATTGTAAAGTAAAAATATTAATGGGGGGGGCAGGGAAGAGGTTGGGCTACACCTAGCTGTGCTCAGGATCACTCCTGGCCAAGCTCATGAGACCATACGGTATTGGGGATCAAACCTGGGTCTGCCGTGTAAAAGGCAAGTGTCCTACTCACTGTCCTACCTGGCCCAAAACACTAATTTTCATCTTCAACATTTTGCTCAGTTGTCTAAGTTCAAACACATCCCGGGGAGGGGGGTAACCCATTCAATAAATTAACATTTATGTCTTATATCCAAAGATATGCCAAAAAAAGTAACAAGTCTCATTATTTGTTGTGAGATGTTACTGGTGCCTGCTTGAGCAAATCCATGAACAGCAGGAGGACAGTGGACAGTGGATCCAAAGAGGTACTGCAGCGTGAGAGAGGCTCATTTACTACTTGAAGGGAAATGCGAGAATCACACTTGGATGTTTTCACTGGTGGTTGCTGTTTCTTGGTCTTCATCAACAGTACAAACCATGTCATTAGAGGAGATAGAAATAATCTTCAAGCCTTTGTTTACTTCTGCAATTTCCTGAACGCTTAGTCCCTCTCTTTCTCCTAACTGTCCCACATCCTCAGAGGAACTGGAAGCCTCTTCTCTTTCTTCTTCCTCTTTGGAAGTAGTGAGTTTTTCGAGAGATTCAACTACTTCATTTCTCAACTCATCTTCTGATTCTTCAAAATTTCTAAAAAAGTAAACAGCAAAAATTTATGATACCAAAACTCTAAAGAATATATATGATAGTTTCCTTCTTATTCCCTGTCACCATTTGAGTAATATGAAAATTACATATTTATTCATGTAACAAATTATTTATGATATCAACCTGTCTTTTTCCCCCCTGTGGATAATAAACAAGCAAATGTTGAAAGAATCAGTATTCTGTTTAGTTGGACTTAAGTCTAACAACTTTTATGTATGTATTAGTAGCCATTTAACTCTTCTGTCTAAAAGAAAAGGAGATAGAAAAGAATAAAAAAAATAAAACAGCTTCTTTAATATTTAGTTTTGTTTTGGGGCCACACATGGAAGCCTTGGGGCTAACTCCTGGATTTTGCTCAGGTCAGTCCTGAGGTGCTGAGAGTCAAACTGGGGTCTGTTACATGGAAGGCAAACACCTTAGCCTCTGTATCAGCTCTTTGGATGCTATTGAGCCTTTACAATAGGCCAGTCACTGCCCTCAAGCACTTTATACACTGTACTAGAACACTTTAAGGTAAACATTGTCATCATCAATATATAAACAGCTGAAGCTCAAGAGGTTTTTTAAAAAGAGCCCAAGGTCTCAGAGTAACTAATCAGTAAACTTTGGAATTGTGTCTAAATGTCACTAACATTTTTTAGGAGGAAAAGATGCAGGAGACCAAGAAAACCATTTCTCTAATGATCAGTAATATTTCAATGAAAAACAGAGACAAAAAACAGCTGGTGCAATCCTTGAAAGTGTTTATCATGGAAATCAAGGGTGTAGAGAACTTCCAGGAAGAGGCCATACAAAAAAAAAAATTTGGATTTGCAGATAAGAGAGCGTCCCATTCACAACCCGTCTGCCCAACCCATCCCATCACACCCCACAACCTCTGCAGGCCTGCCTGAAATTATTATTAAAAATTATTATCCGTCAACAAGAGTGAAATCAGAGGTAAAACATGGCAAGTTCAGAAAATAATAGGCTGTGTTGGTCCTCTGAGTTAAGTCTGAGAAAAAGAGTGTACTTACATTTCTATTTCAAAGAAGAAGGAGACACTGAAAGAAGGTTTAAAAATCAAATAAATGAAAACTAACCCAAGGGGCTGGGAGAGCTAGTTCGGGTGAAGCCACTTGTCTGGCATAGGGCTAGGGGTGAGCATGGAGTCTAACCCGAGCACTTCCAGAACCAGAAACCCCGCATCCCAGAGACCACTAAATCATAAATAAAACTAATCTGAAACACAGAAGTGTCATTCAGCCCCATGCCCTGAACCCTCATTTTTTAACCCAGAGGTTCTGTGATGCCCTGTAAATGTCCAGTACACTGAGCAAGAAACTTCAGGGAGAGACAGGCACAGCCAATACTCTGTGGCATGAGCCTGAGGGGTGTCACTCCCATCCAGACAATCCAATGGCATGGCATGCCGTTATAAGCGAACATTTTTGACAAATCCTCTGTTTATGAGGCAGGCAGACAGGTATGGACCCTTTGGTAAACACCAGGAAGAGACACAAAGCCATAAAACAAACAAGGAATGCCTGGTGAGACAAAAGAAAAAAAATTCTTAGCACCAGGAAACATCTGGTGAGACAAGATATAGTCTAAGGGGTGCCCTGTTGCCTGCACAGGAGAAACCCAGAACCTCTGCAGAGAGCCAGAGGGCCGGGAGCTATGACCTAATAAAACTGAGGAGAACAAAGAAACCCATAAGACTAAAGTCCTAACAGGGAATGCCCTGCCACAGAGGCAGGGTGGGATGGGGGAATGGGGGTGGGAGGGATACTGGGATCCGTGGTGGTGGGAAATGGGCACTGGTGGAGGGATGGGTACTTGATCATTGTATAATCAAAACCCAAGCACAAAAATTTGTAAGTCTACAACTGTACCTCATGGTTTGTCACTAATAAAAATTAAATTAAAAAAAAAAAGACTAAAGTCCTTCTCCTTGACCCTGCCCCCCCACCCCCCCTTGCAAAGATCCAAGCCAGGGTGAGGAAGGGAGGCAGGGAGAAATCAATACAATCAACTTCTCAGTCAACTTCTCACAGAGGAATTCCCTCTTTCCTCTTACTTTAAGGGTTCTCCTCTCTCATATTTCCTAAATAAAGCTCCCTTCGGTAGTTTTATCTATCATCTCTGGAAATTCTGAAAAATCTCTTCTACAGTGGAAAGATGAGAGCCTGAAGCCCGCAGATCAGGGCTGACTCCTTTTACCAGTCTCGGGCTCCCCAAATCCCCTGCACCCCACCCCACCCCCATCATCTCTACATGATGACAAAGAGTCAGTCTACACTGTTCAGTGAAAAAAAGCAAGAGTCGGGATAGTGAGAACATACAAAACAATTTCCTTAACAGCAAACAGAGCGCAGTGTATGTAAGAGAGACATTTGCTTACGTTTTAGTGGAATTTCTCAGGAGTTTGCACAGAAAATAGATGAGATCGATGCTGGATTAGGGAGTTGTGTGTGTCTGAGGTGAGGACATAGGGGCCTATTCCTTTTGACTTGGAAACTGGTATGGGCCCCTTGGCAGTAAACCTCAGGAAGAGGCACAAAGCCACAAAACAAAGAAGGAATGTCTGGTGAGGCCAAAAGAAAAAAAATTTGGGGGGGGGGGGGGGGGGAGGAATATCTGTTACTTGTTAAAAATATAATATAGTCTTTAAAAATTCAAAATTCTACAAATTTTAGAACTAATAGGAGAGTTTAAAGAAACTACAGGATACAATGTTGATAGAATAGTTGACCTCACTGTAGAAGAAAAATTACCCAGTTAATAAAGGCCAGGACAGGGCTTCACATGTGACTCAGCAGTTAAGTGTTGTTCTGCAGGCATGACATTCGAGATGAGGGTTCGATCCTCAGCACCACAAAAAAGTAGTAACAACAATACCAACAATATTAGGTGGCACATATAAAGTGAGGTAAACTATAAAACCTATGCATATATGTGAGCTATTATACTCAGAGTTGTTTAGATTTATAAGATTCACAAGGATTTATAACTACCATAAATGAATGAACAAATGTAATGTCATTCTAAGCAAGATCCCAACAAAGATTTTTGTAACACTTTACAAGAGATACATGTGTTGAATAAAAGGCCACAAGAGCCAAGATAATTTAAGGGGGAATGTGTGGAGAACAGACAGAGGAGCGGAGCTAGCCCTACCAACTGTGGGAGGGAATGACAGGAGTCATCAGACTCTCACTGATGCAACTGAAACAAAACACATAAGACATGGGACAGAGAGCCCAGAATCCAGTCCAGGCACAGAGCCTGTAGCCTTACCTCTGCCGTGATCTATCTGTCTCAACAACACCATTTTACTTCTTTAGTTGACTGAGATTCTGTGGTTTGCAATACTATTTTTTTTAATACCATTAGTAATGGTTTCTCATGCATGTAATTCCAACACTACACCAGCATACCTCCCTCCCTCTCCCAAGAACCACAACAACAGCATTTTAATTTTCTATTGATTCTTCATGTAGCCATCTGACTATCTTACATATCATCATCCTACATCACGGAAGTACTGACAGATTATTACTTACGTATCTTCATCATCTGATCTTGGTCCTAGTCGTACTTCATCAAACTCAATGCCCACAGCCATTTCCGCCTCTCCTTCATCTTCTTCAGGAAGCGACTGTTTTAGTGTACCCACTGTGAAAGAGATTACCAACACCCAGCTTAAAGCCTAGACTCCTAGAGAGAGATGGATACCAAAACACTACTCCGGGAGTGCTTCAGCCATAATGCCAAGTCTCTGAGTTATTTCCATGAAAACTGTCATGGGGCCAGAGTGACAGGATACTGGGTAAGGCACTTGCCTTGCATGCAGTCACCCCGGTTTTGAACCCCAGCATTCCATATGGTCCCCTGAGTGCAGAGGCAGGAGTAAGCCCTGAACATCTGAATAACAACAACAGCAACAACAATAACAAAACCCCTCTAACTATGGACTGTAGAGACAGTGCAGAAGGTAGGGTGCTTACTTTGCATACGACAGCCCTGGATCTATCCCTGGTACCAAATATGGTTCCTTGAGCTCCACCAGGACTCCACAGCACAGAGCTGGGAGTAAGGTCTGAGTACAGCCAGGGCAGCCCCCGCCTCACCCCCAAAAGAGAAAACTCTTACAAGACAGATGACTACTGACTCCCCAGATCTTTAGCATTCAGTCAGGTCCCACCCTAAGGAGGATAAAGTGGCTGGGGGCATCAGGGTTCCAGAACCCCATGAGATCAGGACTCTAATGTGTCTGCTTCTCTGCATGGGCAGGGGCTAGGGCCAAGCCAGGTAGTTTCGGCTCTATCCGCAGCACTGCCCTGTACAATGGGGCCCTCTCGGCGCTGATTGGCGTGTGTTCCATTTGCAGACACAGCTTTGGTATTGGCCAAGGTCAAATCCCAGTGCAGGGGCCTCAGAATGCTCCCGGTCCAGAAAGTTCTTAATCAGAGAGAGGATGTCCTTCAGTCTCAACAGCTCCAGACTTTTCTCTTCAGGAGATGAAGAGAGTGTCACACCTAGGCAAACTGGCAAGAGTCCAAAGCTGGTGTCAGTGGATAAGACAGAAACAATCGCTGTGGCCATTCTCAGGGAGGGCAGCTCTCTAATTGCATGCCCAATCCAGGGCCTTGATGCTCTGGAGGAAACATTTTCTCCAGATGGAGTCTGTGAGGGAAGGATTTGGAGGCAGCTGAGAGTTGGAGACCCTGAATGCTGGAGAACATTCAACGTTCTCCCCTGGAGGTAGAGTGTAGACCTGTTGAAGTTCTCCACACTTCTCTCCCACCCTCACTCTGCTGGCTCTGCCCACCAGTGGACAGTGGTACTACTTGGTCCGCACCAAAATGACTGAGATGGGTCAAGGGTTAGGGCCATAAAATGTGATTCTCAGCTCCAAAATGGGTCATTAAATGTCTAAACCCTACAGGGAGGATGAGCTGAGCTGAAATTTCTTTTCTTTTCTTTCTTTTTTTCCCCTTTTTGGGTCACACCCAGCGATGCTCAGGAGTTACTCCTGGCTCCTGCATTCAGGAATCACTCCTGGCGGTGCTTGGGGGACCATATGGGATGTTGGGAATTGAATCTGGGTCGGTCGCATGCAAAGCAAATGCCCTGCCCGCTGTGCTATAGCTCCAGCCCCCTGAGCTAAAATTTCTGAAGCGGCTTCTGTTCCTGTGTTTGAGGGAGATTCACAGTCAAGCCATGGGAAGGAGATGGCTCAAAAAGGAGGGTGGGGGGTTTCTAGGGGCCTGCTGGAAGAGTCGGAACTAGAAAATTGACAAAGAGACCCTTCTGAACAGGTACTACTCCTTGTCTTGTTCCTATCCCTGTCCCACGCAATCCCTTCTTGCAGCTAGGAGAAAAGGAAGCGGCATTGACCGGAGCCTGGCTGGATTTCCTGAGTGGAGAACTTCATAGCTCTTTACAGTTATACAGCTAGAACTTCAGAAAAGTCAGGCAAACTTCTTTCCAAGGGTCCGTTCCTCTTGCTTTGTCCAGTAAGAAAAGGCCTGTTATGCTTTAGTAGGAAGGAGGCCCTGGATTTCAGCACAAAGACATCACAGACCATTCTGCTCTAAACAAGTTATCTGACAGGTGGTCAGAAAGACCGAGGAGTGGTTCTCAATGGTCCTTGTCAAAGTTGGCTACCAAGGACAGCACCACAGTACTGGCTATTGCCTTGAACTGCGGCGTGAAGAAGACCCAGTTCAGATCTATAATCAGGACCTCCTTCACTCCACCCTCCTTCTCACTCCATCCCTCCTACAGACCAGAGCTTGCTTTCTCTCGGGTATATTTCAGGAAATGTTTCTACTTCCGAGAAATTAGAATCCTAAAGGAAGACCCCATGGCAAGATCCCAAATAACTGAAGCAGAAAATCTGCCAGATAAGATCCTGTGACTGTGTTACTTATGAGCTCTAAGTACCGTCAGCCTAATTTATCAGCCACTTAGACACCACCCCTGCCTTAGCACATGTCATCCATGGGTCAGGTTGGAAGTCTGGCCTCATGTGCCCTCCAGAAAAGCTAGTCCAGATCTCAGCCAAGACCTTCCACCTATTCTGAATGTGTGCTGCACCTATGTTCAACCCTCTTCTGATGCATATTCTCAGGTTCTCTGTTTAAGGGGACCAGAGAGAGGCCGGAGCAATAGTACAGAATAGCATAGCAGGTAGATTGTTTGCTGTGTATGTGGCCAAACTGGGTTTGACCCCTGGCACCCCAGATGAACCCCCTGAGCCATGCAAGAAGTAACACCTGAGTGGAGAGCAAAGAGTAAGTTCTGAGCACTTTCTGATGTGGCGCTCACGCACATACACACACACACACACACACACACACACACACACACACACACAGAGGACCCAAGAGATGGCTCAAAGGACTGGAACACAACTTTTGCCATGTGGCAGGCCCAGGTTTAATCCCCAACACCACAAGGTCCCCTGTGCCCTGCTGGAAACAACTCCTGAGCAATGGGAGGGGGAGAAGCATGGCTGGGTACCCCCTCAAACCACAACATCATCAACTTATTAATTCATTAATTAAAAGTAATTGTGGGGGGCTGGAGAGTTTGCCTTGCACGTGGCCTGACCCTGGTTCAATCCCCAGCATCCCATATGGTCCCCTGAGCACGGCCAGGAGTAGTTCCTGAGTGCATGAACCAGGAGTAATCCCTAAGCATCACCGGGTGTGACCCAAAAAGCAAAAAAAAAAAAAAAAAAAAAGTAATTGTGGACAGAAATCTGGCTTAAGGTACTGAAGCACATCATTTACACGTGGGAGGTCTGGGTTTAACCTCCTTTTTCCCCCACCAGAGGAAATAATGGCCCTCGCCCAGAACCCAGCCATAAGTGATCCCCCAAGAACTGCTTGAGTATGGCCCCTAAACCAAAAACAGAAGGTAAGAGAAGAATAAATGAAAGTAATTGCGAGGATAGTGAAAAGTAATTCTCAATGATGCTGAGATTCCACGGATTATAAGGTAAAGGTAAAGGTAAAGGCCCTCCCGTTGATCGTCGATTTGCTCGAGCGGGCCCAGTAACGTCTCCATTGGAGACTTTGTTGTTACTGTGTCTGGCATATCAAATACTCTCGGTAGCTTGCCGGGCTCTCCGAGAGGGGCGGAGGAATCGAACTCGGGTCGGCCATGTTGGCCGCTTGGAAGGCGAACACCCTACCCGCTGCACGGATTATAAGATACACTTTTATTTTATATACCAATGGCAAAGAAAATATCTCCAATAAAATGACTCAATGTTTTCTTAGTGCTTGGAACTTTGGAATATATTTTATAAATTTCAAGAACTTTTTTAGGCTCAGACAAGTCTTATCCATGAGTAAATCTGTTGAAAAACTCAGGTATGTGGGTTAGGTGACCAAAATCTCCAAGCTCTCATGGAGTTGGGAATGGGTGACCCTCACCCCCTGTTCTTCCGGGAGTCTGGCAGTCACACCCATGAAATGCCTCTGACACCATATAAGTTCATCAACTGGGCATGATCCAGAGACTCACAAAATTCAGAAGAGATCAACAAGCTGCAGAAATGCCTCAGACCCCAAAGTCACCATTCAGTTAAAAAAATTTAACTCAAGCTATATCACCTTATTTAAAATTTTAGAATTCCTGGAGCATTCATGGCTGCAGAACATCTTATATTCTATACTACTGATGTACCAGGAGTAGCACACATTGAATAGGATGCAAGGTAGAAGGCAACGAATCTCAATTCAAAAATATTAGCATACAAGGTTCAACCTGTAGCAACATGTCAGTAATCTCTTATTCAAGGGTTCCATGGTTCCAGGGTGAGATACAACAGTCTTCACAAACTTTCCTCCCAGGATGGGAGAAGCATGCTGAAAGTAGACTATAGACAGAATATGATTGCCACTCAATGCCGCTTTTGCAAACCACAGCACCCAATAGGAGAGATAGAACAGAGGGGAACGCCCTGTCACAGAGGCAGGGTGGGATGGGGGGTGGGGGGGGTGGGAGGGATACTGGGATCCGTGGTGGTAGGAAATGGGCACTGGTGGAGGGATGGGTACTTGATCATTGTACAACTGAAACCCAAGCACAAAATTTGTAAATCTACAACTGTACCTCATGGTGTCTCACTAATAAAAATATAATAAAAAGATACCTTTTTTGATCATTTTTAGAGAATTATTCATAACAATCAATACAAAATAAATTATTTAGGGCTTGCTATTGGGGCAGGCTTGGGTGATGGTTGGGAAAAATTCAAAGTAATGTTGGTGGGTATGGTGTAATGGTGGTGGGATTGGTGTTGGAATATTGAATGTAATAAATTATTGTGAACAACCTTATTAAAATAAATTAAAAAATAACAAAAAATTTTAAAAAGAACTTCTTTTGTCTTATTTAAGTATACATTTTAAATCTCCTAGAACTATATTTATAAAAAGAAAAATATAGGTGAGATCAATTAACAAGGAATACCTGAAATTTCTATCATTTCAAGTTTTAATCTTCTGAGTTAATTTCCACTAGATATGAAATTTTTGGAATCCTGATTCAAAGAGGAGACCATAATACAGCAATTCGTGAGGGCAGGAGAGACAGTTCAGGGGCTGGAGCACACACTTTGCATACAGGGAGCCCAAATCTACCCCCAGCATAGTGTGTTCCCCTGAGAGTTGCAGGGAGTAATTCGTAAGCACTAAGCAGGGTGGGGCTCCCAGATAATAATAAAATTATTTTTAAAATCCTCCTAAATCCATAAGACAACCAAAAAATTGTGAATTACATTTTTTCATAATTTTGTTTATTTTTTTCCCTTCTTATATTTATTTATTGAATCACTATGGGAAAAGTTACTAAGCTTTCAGGTTTGTCTCGGTCATACAATGATCAAACACCTTTCCCTTCAACAGTAAGGGAATCATTTTTCACCACCAAGTACCCCAATATACTCCCCTCCCACCCCTCCCAATGCCTGTGAGGCAGATGATTTCTACTTAACTCTTCTCTACATTGATTACATTGTGAATTACTTTCTGAATCGTGAACATCTCATTTTGCTTTTTGATTTATTGATTTTTTTAATGTCATCGCCATACCTTGTCTTCCAATTGATCGGTCTCTCAAGCAGCAGTTGAGATGCCAGACCTTGAAGCTCCACTAACCTGAAGCAGTTAGGAGGACTCAGACTGCAGAAGGGAGGGACGGGGGCTACAAATCCTGCCCTCCTCAGCTCAGACCACAGCAGCCTCTCAGGAACCCTGGAGTCTGGTGTCCTTCAACTGCACCAAGTCACAGAGCCACGTACTCAGTCCAGTCTCAGTTTCTATGCTGTGTTGGCAGCAGACCTCCTATCAGCTGAGTAGGTGCCGGAGCTCAGTCTATAAAACCCCAGCACCACACAGGCTGGGCACTGTAGCACTGTCCTCCTGTTGTTCAACAATTTGCTCGAGCGGGCCCAGTAACGTCTCCATCGTGAGACTCATTGTTACTGTGTCTGGCATATCGAATATGTCACGGGGAGCTTGCCAGGCTTTGCCGTGCGGGCGCAATACTCTCAGTAGCTTGCTGGGCTCTCAAAGAGAGGCGGAGGAATCGAACTCAGGTCGGCCATGTGAACCACATACAAGGCAAACGCCCTACCTGCTGTGCTATCGCTCCAGCCCACACATAAAGTCTCATAAGAGGCCTCCCTGAAAGTCACAGGAATACAGCTCACTTAGCACACAGCAGTTACTATCCCAGCATGAACCGAGGGAGAAGACCCAGCACTTGGCCACGTAGGGCGTGCACACCCAACCCCAGAGGAACTGCAAGGGCAGTGGCACTGAGTGGGATGCCTGGAGAACGGCTCAATACAACATGATTCGTGGCAATATGGAGTGAGCGGTGAAAACAACACACAAACAAGATGACAGTTATGAAAGAATGAGAAACTATTAAAAATAACTTCAAACAGAAGCAATAGATTTAAAAGCACAATAGTCAAGCTATAGGCTATAATAGATGAACTTAAGAGTCAAGCAGTGGAGGGGCTGGAGTGATAGCACAGCAGGTAGGGCATTTGCTTTGCATGCGGCCAACCTGGGTTCGATTCCCAGCATCCCATATGGTCCCCTGAGCACTGCCAATTATAGGAGTAATTCCTGAGTGCATGAGCCAGGAATAACCCCTGTGTTTTGCCAGGTGTGACCCAAGAAAGAAAAAAATAAAGTCAATAAAAAAATAAAGTCAAGCAGCAGAGGGACCGGAGTCTAGCAGGGAGGGCATTTGTCTCACGTGCTGGCGACCTGGGTTCAATCCCTAGCATTCCCGATGGTTCTCCAAGTACTGTCAGGAGTATCTCCTGAGTGCAGAAGTCAGTAGTAATCTCTAAGCATTGCCAGGTGTGACCCAAAAAGCAAGACAAAAAGAGTCAAGCAGCAGAAACTATCCACAGATAGAGCCAGTGAGCTGCAAAGGCTGGTTGTGGAATACATACAAGCAGAAGAGAAAAAGGAAGAGCAAGCACAGAGGTGTTGATGCATCAGAGTTTGAAGAGTAACAATAGCTACTGTGAGTCCCAGGAAGAGGAAAGAGAGGGGAGTAAAATCCCTCTTTGAAGAAATCATAGTCGAGAACTTCCTTAATTAGGAAAGGGAAGAACTATTCAAATACAGGACACTTAAGAGATTCAACAACCCCTGTCCCCAATAAAAACCAGACACACCAAGATACATGAATTAAAGTGTTTAAAATGAAAACTCTACTAGTGCACTTCTAGAATATGGAAAGCATTCAGGGAAAAATTAAAGAACAAAAAGGAAATTGGCCCATGATTATCCAAGGCCTTTTCCAGAGTAGCCATACCAGACAGAAGGGAACAGTATGAGAAAGTTAGAGATTTTTTTCCCCCAACTCTTCTTTTGCAGTGCTGGGAACTGAACTCAGGCCCTCGCACACGCATGACAAGAGCGACGCCACTGAGTTATATTCCTGGTCCCTAACTTTTTGCTGCCTAGAGAAAACATATTCTAGCTTCCAGTTTATGTATTATTTTGGTTGCATATGTTCTATTTTTCCATCATTACAAATGAGTTAGGTTAATGAATTTACTATATTGCCACATAGAGTGACTGACTAGAAAGGTATATATGAGAAATTTATTTATCAGGTACGACTAGAATAGAAACTTTCCACCAAAGATGGGATTAAAAGCAAATGAGTAGCTTTTTCTTCATGTGATGACCTGATTCTTCACAGATGTGCCTATCTGTACAAATTTCACCACATTGCAATCTAACACTTACCTATTTTACGCATGCTTCACTCAAAATTATAAGCATGTGATTTTTAAAGCATATTATAAAATAAATGGAGTTCTTTTTTACTGTTTGCAAAACCTTTCATTCTTTTTTCTAAATTTTGTTTTGTTTTGTTTTGTTTGGGAACCACACCTGGCTCAAGGGTTACTCCTGGCTCTGCACTCAGAAATTATTCCTGGCAGTGCTCATTTCATTCCATAGGGGAAGCCTGGGGATTGAACCTGGGTCAGTGGCTTACAAGGCAAATGCACTACCCACTATACTATCTCTTTGGCCCATTTAATTTTTTTTTTTATTTTTTGCTTTTTGGGTCACACATGGCGATGCACTGGGGTTACTCCTGGCTCATGCACTCAGGAATTACTCCTGGCAGTGGTCGGGGGACCACATAGGATGCTGGGAATCAAACCTGGGTCGGCCGTGAGCAAGGCAAACGCCCTACCCGCTGTGCTATCGCTCCAGCCCCAGGCCCATTTAATTTTTAAAATTATATATCCGCCCCTCTTGGAGAGCCTGGCAAGCTACCGAGAGTATCTCGCCCGCACAGCAAAGCCTGGCAAGCTACCTGTGACGTATTCAATATGCCAAACACAGAACAACAAGTCTCACGATGGAGACGTTACTGGGCCCGCTTGAGCAAATTGATGACCAACGGGAGGACAGTGACAGTGATATTTTAATTAAAGTACTGTGACTTACAAAGTTATTCATAGTTGAGTTTTAGACATACTATACTGCAGCACCAATCCCAACACCAGTGTCCATTTCCCTCCCCTAATATTCTCAGATTCTCTCCCACACCCCTTCCCAGAAAATGAAGTTAATTTTCACATTTCAGGGATGGAGAGAAGATCAAGAACAGAAGCGGAAACAGGGGCGACGGCTCAACCCTGGAGTGTGCGCTTGGCATGCGGGAGCCCCCGATTCTATTCCCAGCACCGCACACCCCACCCAGCATGCTCAGAGTGACCCAGGAGCACCACCCCTGGAGGAGCCTCGTGGTCCCCTCAGGCTCCCCGTCATGGCAGCGCCAGATCTCAAACTTCCCACCTGCACAGGGGCTCCTTGATGGCTTCACTTATCGCATCCTCACACACACGTACGCGACAGTCTCTCTGTGGGGACTGCAACAGACAGTACCTCAAACTTCAGAGAGTGGCAGCTGGTTTCTATTAGAGTGCCCACAAACACAATCTTGCTAAAAAAAAAAATAGAAAGCCAGATATAGGAACCAACGTATCTAAAAGTGCCCAGAGAGATAGCTGAATAAGCCGGAACGTGTGCTTCCTGCAGGAGGGCCAGGTTTGATCCCCAGTACCACATATAGCTCCCGAGCACTGCTTAGAAATGACTCCTACAGAAGGATTCTCGAGTAGCCCCTGAGAACCATCAGATATAGTGCCCAAACAAAAATAAAACACTAAAGCAAATACAGATCGAAAACAGTCAGGTAGAGAAAAACAACATGAGTTCTACAAAGCCGCTAGTCCTACTTACTCATCATGAACTTTCAACTGATCACATTAAAAAAATAATTTACTCCCCCCACACCCTCTACCCTGGCCATTCATTGTCTTTGGTTAATGGCATTTAGAAAGGGTTTGGGCAAAGCAAGCTGGGAAAAGGTACCTTCCTAATGCTCTCTCTGACAGGATAATGTTTTTTTGATTTTTTTTTAGGCTTTTTGTTCACACCGGACAATTACTCCTGGTGGTATTCAGGGAACCATATGGGATGCCGCGGATCAAACCCTAGTCAGTCATGTGCAAGGCAAATGCCCTACCCACTGTACTATCACTCCGGCCCGCAGATGATGTTTTTAACCTCTTTCTGCATTTACCAATCTTTCACAAAGCCCCACAGGGGGGTGGTTATGTTCTTAGAGAATAAACAACGTACCACATTCTCCTTCCTTGGCTGAAAATGAGTCACTCCTTAGATGCGCAGCTGCCCAAACACTCAACAAGGTTCCTGGTGCTTCCTGCCGCCACTGCTTCCGGTGCTCTGGGGCATCTCCCAGCACTAGCACTTGGCCATCTGAAGAGAAGAATGTGTCATGAAGAGAAAAAATGCCTCTTTGTTTGGGATTTTCTTATTGCGACCACACTTGGCAGGGCTCAGGTTCTACAGTCATTGAGACATTAAACTCGGGGCCTCAAGGATACTAGGCATGTGCTCTGACATTACGCTACCTCTCTGTTCTCTTCATCTGATTTTTAAAATAAAAATCACAGAATGTTAGAGCCTCTAAGGCAACTTAATCCTACTTCTCATTTTTTTAATGTTGTCTTGGGACTGCTCAGGGGACAATTGTGGTATTGGGGATCAAACCAGGACTGACTGCATGCAAGGTCAGTGCCTCAGCACTTGACCCCTCCTCATTTTATTTATAACTTTAGTGACTGATTATCAAATAACTGATGGTAGGAGAGTGTTTTGGGTTTTTGTTTTGTTTTGTTTTTGCCTTATGAACTGGTTTTGGGGGTATGTTAATATTTCTCTTCTATTTGCTTATTTTTTTAATTAGTTTTTTCCTTATTCAGTCACTGGCTTAGGATAAATTAAATTGCATCCTTTTGCAAGTGCTTCCTCGCAAATTTGATGACCTCAGCCTTTTGAAATAGTATAAATATGTCAATTTGCACAAAAAAATGAACTCATGTACTACTTATGTAATTTGCAATATGCTTAAATAATTCTACTTAGAACACTGGTAAAAAAATGTAGCTCTTGGGGCTGGAGCAATAGCATAGCAGGTAGGGCATTTGCCTTGCACGCGGCCAACCCAAGTTCGATTCCCAGCATCCCATATGGTCCACCGAGCACCACCAGGAGCGATTCCTGAGTGTATGAGCCAGGAGTAACCACTGTGCATCGCCGGGTGTGACCCAAAAAGCAAAAAAGAAAAATAAATAAAATAATAATAATAATAAAATGTAACTTTCCCTTTACTCTGTGTTACCAAGAGGAACATAGGGAGAAAGTGAACCAAGGGAAAATGATGCAAATCTTCACCTGTAAAGATCTCCTGCAAGCTGTCCTTGGAGCCTCCTCTAAAGACTGGGTCAAATACAAATGAAGGGACTTAAGGTTAAAAACGTCATTCTACTTTTACACCCCCATCATTGAAATAGCAGTTGAATATGTACCTTTGTCCTTTCTCTTAAATCTTGTGGGGGTAGCTATTACTGTCATTCCAATTTTACTGAAAATAACTGACACTTTTTCTTTTTTTAAGAAACTGACTCTTCAAGAAACTGCAAGTGCGTGCGTTTTGGGGCTAGTCAGGGCGGCAACTACATCCAAATGATCTATCAGCATTGTGGGCAGTTGCCCTCAAACAAACCAACAGGGCTGGAGAAAAGTCACTTCAAGGGCTGAGGAGTCTGCCTTGCATGCAGACAATTCCCAGCACCGCCAGGAGCACAGAGCCAGGACTGGCCCCCAGCACCTTCAGGTGGCACCCAAAACCCAAACAAGCAAACAAGAATTTGCAACTAAAGTGCCCTGGAAGTAGAAAAGAATTTAAAACAGTAATTTCTGCAGGGTGAGGGAGGGGGCTGGCCTCCCAAGAAATACTGGGGGTGGGGGGGGGGGCGGGGAGGGAGGGAGAAAGCACCAGGTTTGCAGATCAGTGCCAGGGCTGGAGGATGCCATGGTGCTCCTGCTCAGGCCTAACCCTACCTTGTGGTGCTGGGGATGAAACCCAGGTCAGCCATATGCAAGGTAAGCGCCTTCCACGCTATAGTACAACCCAGTGTTATATGTTCCTATGACATGATAAAGGTAAAGGCCCTCCCGTTGATCGTCGATTTGCTCGTGCGGGCCCAGTAACGTCTCCATTGGAGACTTTGTTGTTACTGTGTCTGGCATATCAAATACTCTCAGTAGCTTGCCGGGCTCTCCGAGAGGGGCGGAGGAATCGAACTCGGGTCGGCCATGTTGGCCGCTTGTAAGGCGAACGCCCTACCCGCTGTGCTATCGCTCCAGCCCTATGACATGATATTATACATATTATTTAACCTCTACCCAGATCCTCCATCTTCCAGTAGGCAGGGGTCACACCCACCAACTGCCACCCCGCCCCCCCCCCCAGTAATCCCATTAACAGCCAAGACCCAGAGACTATAAAACCCAGCTCCCGGAAGTGTGCAGCCGCATTTGCGGCCGCGCGACATCTTATTATCTCATTCTTGCTTTGAACAACCTGGCAGGCTACCGAATATAACCTGCCCACACAGCAGAGTCTGGAAAACTCCCCGTGGCATATCCAATATGCCAAATACCAGTAACAATGATGGGTCCCATTCTCCTAACCCTGAAAGAGCCTTGAATGTGGCACTTTTTAGAATCTCAGGGCTAGGACGAAGGAGACATTACGGGTGCCTGCTCGAGGCAATCAACCAACAACAGGATGATCTCGACCGTGATCATTTAGCCTCAACCTCATTTGATAGCACACTCCAGGCCCTGTTCTGAAAAGCAAGCCCTGCAAGGTGGGGGGTAGGGAACTGGGGGTGGGGGAAACAGGGCACTGACCGCACACGGATGTGCAGCTGCAGTAGCCTGGTGGCCTTGGGCCAGCTAATCTCAACTCACCCTGGGGCACGGCAGAGCATGTGGAGGTGACGTCAGTGGCTGCCATCATCTGCAGCAGTGTCTGGGGGGCTTGGGCCGCCCACTGCCGCCGCCTCTCTCCTGCAGCTGCGCGCTGAGCAACCGGGTCTGGGGGAAGGAGACCAGGCGTTAGTTCCAAAGTGGCCCAAGGACTTCTTAGGAGCCCCAAGACAGCCCCGCAGCAGGTGAACCAAAGGGTCATGAGGCCACTGCCACCACTCCAGCACACGTGGTGTGGTCTGGGTTTGTGCAGGCAGCACACCCCAATTTCCACGTTGCAGACTGCAGGGAGATGGTATCTGGAAGGCGGCTGCCTGGGGGCGGTTGGTCATGAGGGTGAAACCCTCATGAATGGGATTTAGTGCTCCTGTGAAAAGGAGAGAGAGAGAACAAAAGGGAATACCCTGCCACAGAGACAGGTTGGGAGGGGGGTATGGGGGGTGGGAGGGATACTGGGATCCGTGTGGTGGATAATGGGCACTGGTGGAGGGATAGGGTGTTTGATCATTGTACAATTGAAACCCAAGTACAAAAAATTTGTAAATCTACAACTGTACCTCATGGTGTTTAACAAAAATTTTTAAAAAATGTAAATGATGGAGAATGGGCACTGGTGGAGGGATGGATACTCGATCATTGTATAACTGGAACCCAGGCACAAAAATTTGTAAGTCTACAACTGTACCTCATGGTGTTTCACTAATAAAAATTTAAAAAGAAAGAAAGAGATCCCAGAACGCCCCCCCCCCATCCCTTCATCTATGTGAGGACACAGCAAAGGACAGGCTGGAGCCCTGACCTGACACCTAGACCTTTGACTCTAATATCTCAGACATCACAGTCTCTGGAAACATGGGAACTAAAGTTGTAAGTTGTAAGTTCCATTAGGGGTGCCAGGACAGATCAAGACAAAGTTAGTATCCTATAAGATGGAAATCATAATGGGGCTAAATTTTTTCATGCTTATTATTGTCATGCAATTGTCCAGTTAACATTTTAATACAGGACATTCAAAAATCAGTTAAGTAGGAGAAAATTTACATTGCTCATAACCCTGACATCCAGAGACTGTTAAAATTTCCAAGCTTTGGGGCTGGAGAGATAGCACAGTGGGTAGGGCGTTTGCCTTCCACGCGGCCAACCCGGGTTCGATTCCCAGCATCCCATATGGTCCCCTGAGCACCACCAGGAGTAAATCCTGAGTGCAGAGCCAGGAGTAACCCCTGTGCATCGCCAGGTGTGACCCAAAAGCCAAAAAAAAAAAATTCCAAGCTTTCCCTCAGAGTATAATTCTTGCTTTGTTTTAGATGTAAAAAATGGGTCACGAGCTACACACCCTTTCAGAACTTGCTTTTTCAGTGAACAATGCTGCACCCAGGTTATTAATTATTGTTCCAGACCAAAGCAAACATTGTATTTTCTTTAAAATATTTAACTTGGTTCCTTTTCAGCTGGATCATTTTTTCAAATTGTCTATTCACAGCTAAATGTTATGAACGTTTGATTATTTACCTTCGATAAACTATTGAACGTGGCAGTTAGATGAAGCTCCTATTACTTGCTTTACCAAAATTTTTCATTGTTAAAGTTGAATCTATTCTATGTTTTTTTTTTCCTTTTCGTTTTTGGGTCACATGCGTACCATTGTTCAGGGGCTATTCCAGTTTCAGTGCTGGGGGGGTTTCCCCTGGCAGTGCTTGGGGGACCATGCCATTTCAGGGATCAACGCAGGCTTCCTGTGTGCAAAGCATGTGGTCCAGCCCTTTAATCTATCTCCCCAGGCTTCCCCTATGACCACACATGTGCATAATACATAAATTTTATTTTGGCTGTCCCTGTAATTGAACCCAGGACTCAAACATACGAGGCATGTGCTCTGCCACAGAGCTACTTCTCCTCCCTCGGGTCATTTGGCTTAGTTTTTTGTTTCCTGGGTCTTATGTATTATTTTGTTTTTCACTTTTTTTTTTTTTTTTTTTTTTTGCTTTTTGGGTCACACCCGGCGATGCTCAGGGCTTAGTCCTGGCTCTGCACTCAGGAATTACTCCTGGAGGTGCTCCGGGGACCATATGGGATGCTGGGAAATAACTCGGGTTGTCCACGTGCAAGGCAAACGCCCTACCCGCTGTGCTATTGCTCCAGCCCCATTTTTCACATTTTTTATGTATTTTGAAAAACTGTCTCTTCACTCTGAAAAAAAAAAGTAATAAATAAGCAAAAAGATACCAATTGACTTGTTTTTCTAATATGGTTTACATATACACTTTGGAATTTTTGCTTTGTATCATTGAATAAGGTCTGATTTCATGATTTTTCTCAAATTACTGACACATTGGCCCAACAGCATTTATTTAAGTAATCCTTTCCCCCACTGACTTATGATCTGATTTTTTGAATGCACTAAGTTATGGTACATGCTAAGGTTCATTTCTAAGCTTTTTTCACTGTTTCCTCTGCTCCAGTGTTAGCAACATATTCTTTCAATGGATAAAATAGATATTTTTTTTGCTATTTGAAAGGAAAGTACCCTTCACTGCTCTTCTTTTTTGGCAAGTTAAGAATCTCCAAGACTCAGGGCTGGAGCGATAGCACAGTGGGTAGGGCATTTGCCTTGCATGCAGCCGACCTGGGTTCGATTCCCAGCATCTTATATGGTCCCCTGAGTACCGGCAGGAGTGATTCTTGAGTGTAGAGCCAGGAATGACCCCTGTGCATCCCTGGTATGACCAAAAAAGCAAAAAAAAAAAAAAAACAACAACAAAAACAAACAGAAAAACAGAATCTCCAAGACTTTCCTCACTGTTAAAATCTCCTCACACCAGAAAAAGAAAGATCCTTTTGTGGTTTTGATACTATTGCCAAAGTCAGAGCTAGAGTAAAGAGAGTTCAGCAGGCTGAGCAGAGAGCTTGCGTGCAGGAGGGCAAGGTCCGATCCCTGGTATCACATGGACCCTGAGCCCCAATGGTAGTCGCTCCTGAGCAGAGAAGCAGGAGTAGCCCCAGAGCACTGATGGATGTGCCCCACCCCACCCCGTAAAAAATCATCCTTTCTCTTTGTCTTTGTCTTGATTCTCTCAAAACTAGTGTGAATATTACTAGGGTCTGCCTTGAGCTCCTGTCCCTTTTCCGTCTGTCTCCTGCCCAAGTCGTCTTGGATACCACCAAGGTTTAATGACCAGGCACCTACTAGGAAGCTGGATTTGACCCAGGATCTGGTCTTCCACCTGAAGAGCCTTCTAATATCTTCAGCTTACATTCATGAAGATGTAAATCCTGTTCCAAATTTAGATCATCACATTCTCTCTACTGACCACCCTTTATGGGGTGTATATGACCGGGTGTGACAGCTTGGGTTATCTGAAGTTTACAATTCCACCCCCCCCACTGGCCCCACCCCAGCCTGGACCCCGACATACCCAGCATGGGCTCTGTTCCCTGGCCTTGGCACCTGTCCTCTCCCTCCCAACTGTTCTCTACTACTGGAGACCTGGAAGCTGACCTCTGCCCCAGCCCCCACCCCCTGCAACCAGTCAGCTTCCTCCATCACAGACATGGCTTCCATCCTGGGGAGGAACAGTCTGCAGCGGATGCAGCCCCCGGGGCACACTAGGTCAAGTGGGAAAGGAACTCTCCAAGGCTCCTGCCAGCTTCTATGCAGACAGTGATTGGCATTCTGGACTCAGAAAATGTGTACCGTGTTTCCCTTTTGGGGGGGCTGCTGACCCATCCATGGCAATGAAAGCCCACTCGGGTCTCTTTCATCTCTGACATCCCAACCATTGTGCAGAATCTGACACCTGAGGCCATCGCTAGATGGCTGCTGAGTTAAACAGGAGAGTTCCCCAGGTGGAAAGGAGGCAAAGTGAGTTCTTCCAGAAAGGGGAAATCGAGGGGAGCCTGTATGTGTAAATGTTTACAGATCTGTCAGAGAAGATGGGGTCACAACCAGGCCGGGGGGTGATGCCACCATCAGTGGCAGCAGAGAAGATATGGAGCAGGAGATTGGGGGGTGCTCGCAGGACCTGGTCACCCGGTGTTAGGCGATGCCCTCTGGAATGGAACGAACCCTGGAGGCTCTATCCAACATAGTCAGGAGGCTGACAGAACAGCACGCCAGTAAATGCAAGTGACCATTTAGACGGACCAAGCAGAAATAACTGGAGGGAAACAGCCGTGCGGGAGAAGAGGCAACTCGGAAAGGGAAAGGGGAAGAAAGAAACGGCCTTTAGAGCACCGACTACGGGGCCTGTTCTTTGCACACCAAGTTTCACTTCCAACCTGACAGTGAGCTTGTTTGGCAAGCCTGTGATCTCCTGTGTTTAGAGGAAACAGATTTGGAGCATTTGGCTCCCTATGAAAGAGCTCGTGGTCAGAAACTGGCCGCAGCAGTCAGGCTTCAGATTCACCTGCACCCCAAGCACTGTTCTTCCCACCAGTCCACACTCGGGAGAGAGGCAAGTCTCCAGTTGGTGAGAGGGGGTGGGGGAAGCAGAGATATCTCAGAGTAAAAGCCCCCAACCTGGGTGAGCAGCAGGAATGGTCGGCCTGGGGCTGGCTTTCCCATACTCAAGGACCCCGAAGAAGGAGGAGTTCAAGGCTGGACCAGACACATGCTGAGCTGCCAACAGGGCTTATATGCACAGAGCAGTCACAGATCTGCAGAAATTGTGGCCACGAGAAGCTGAGGCAAGACTACACCGAGTAACAAGATTCAGAAATGGGGTTAGGCAAGAGTACAGCGGGTAGGGCATTGGCCTGGCACGTGAGTGTGTCTGACCTGGCTTCAGTCCCCAACATCCTATGTAGTTCCCTGAGCATGATCAGGAGAAAGCCCTGAGCACCAATGGGTATAACCCCATCAACAAACAAAAGAAGTAGGCTGGGTATTAGAGACTCTGGGGTCCATGTGACAGAGAAGCCTGGCCCATGCCCAGCTCAGGGGGAGCAGAGAAAGTGAGATGATGACAGTGGCGCCATGGGAGAGAAGAGAGCTGAGACGGTCCCAGTGAACGTTTCCTTTCCACCTACAGCTATTTTTTTTTAAATTTTTATTAGTGAGACACCATGAGGTACAGCTGTAGACTTACAAATTTTTGTGCTTGGGTTTCAATTATACAATGATCAAGTACCCATCCCTCCATCAGTGTCCATTTCCCACCACCACAGATCCCAGTATCCCTCCCACCCCCATACCCATCCCATCCCATCCTGCCTCTGTGGCAGGGCATTCCCTTTTGTTCTCTCCTTTTGGGTGCTGTGATTTGCAAAAGAGGCATTGAGTGGCAATCATGTTTGGTCTATAGTCTACTTTCAGCATGCTTCTCCCATCCTGGGAGGATCCTCCCAACATCTTTTATTTGGTGCTCCCTTCTCTATCTGAGCTGCCCTTTCCCCTAGAATGCCCGGCTGGCCTCTAAGCCATGGAGTAATCCTCCTGGTACTGATCTCGGCTATTCTTGGGTATTAATCTCCTATTTTGTTACTTTATGTCCCCCAGATGAATGCAATCTTTTTATGTCTATCCCTCTCTTTCTGACTCATTTCACTTAACATACTTTCCATGTAGTACCACTTGTCTGGAAAAAACCTGAGTGCCTGAGAACAGATGACTGGTTAAAAAAACTTTGGCACATTTACACAATGGAGTACTATGTAGCTGTTAGAAAAGATGAAGTCATGAAATTCACCTACAGCTTTGATGACCCACATACCAGCGTCCGGACAGCAGAGCTGCTGGTAGGCTTTGTCTGTATAGTCTCCATGCTCCTCCACACATAGACACTCCTGAAGCTCCTTGCTGTCTTCAAAGGCCAAGGTTGTGTTTAGTATATCCATTGTCTAGAGTAAATTCACAGTTTTTCATGAAAAAAATCCATTCTTTGAAGATAAATACTACATTAGATAGTTGGGTTCTCAGTAATAACAATGACCAAGATATATGGTAATATCCAGTATACGTCTGAAGCTCATCAACAGACATTGTACCGACTTTCTGCTTGGAATATTATAGTACTCCCACCCTATCCACAGAACTCTCAGGACCTCTCATCAATCCCTGTTTTAAATGTACAGTTCTTCTAATTGGGTCTTTAAAACTGTTCTAATACTGAAAAAGCGCCACTCTGAGTTTTTTTGTTATTGTTCCGTATGGCAGTGGAGTTGGGGGTATGGGACCCAAGCATTGAATAGCAGGCTCAGGGGACCCTCCCAGCTGGACCAGTGGGCCAATGCAAGGTTCTGAGGATGCAGTGCTGCTTGGGTCCCACGGTGCCAGGGGCTGACCAGCACTGCTTGGGGACCTCCGCTGGCAGGAATAATGGCTGGGGATCAGACTTGGGTAAGCCTCATGAAAGACATGTGCCCTAACCCCTGTACTATCTCTCCAGCCCAGTACCACTCTGTTTCAAGCATATCAAATCCCAGAACAGCAAAGGATGAATGCTCTGGAAGATAACACTGTACATGACTATTTTTTTTTTCTAGAAGAACTTCTTAGAAGTTTTTCGAAGAACTTAGAAGTTCTTAGAAGTTCTTAGAAGAAGAAGTAAGTCCTTCAAAGAACTTAGAAGTTATTCAAAGAACTTCTTAGAAGCAAAAGCACCTTACTTTCAGAATGTGGGCTGCCCCAAACCTCAGGGGCTAACCAGAAATGGTTCCCCAGGATCTCGTGGTCCTAATGGTGACACAGAAGTGCATGCCCTCACACTACTCTCTAATGCAGAAGCTTTTGAAAGTGCTAGTGAAACTCTGAAATATAGGTGGGGTGCAGAGGATTTTTAGGGTAGGGGTCATCTATATGTTACTATAATGATGGCTTTGTATCAGAATCCACAGAAGGAACAGACAACACCAGAGTGAGCACTCAGGGGAACTATGGACTTCAGGAGGGAGATGATCTATTAGTGGGGGTTCATCAACTGTCACAAAAGTTCCACTCTGGTGTGAGACATTGATGGTGGCTATGCATATAGGCAAGAGCAGATGTGAGACATCTCTGAACCTTCTGCTCATTTTTGTCATGATACCAAAATTTCTCCAAAACAAAGTCTATTTTACAAAAAAAGAACACACTAGGGCTGGAGCAATAGCACAGTGGGAAGGGCATTTGCCTCGTAGGCAGCTGACCCAGTCTCAATTCCTTGTATCCTGTATGGTCCCCCAAGCACAACCAGGAGTAATTCCTGAGTGCAGAACCAGGAATTAGTCTTGAGCATTGCCAGGTGTGATCCCAAAATAAAAAACAAAAGTCCCACACCAGGCCTTCACATAAACCAAAATAAAATAAAAAAGAGTATTTTAAAAAATATTTATGCCAGGGGCTGGAGTGATAGCACAATAGGTAGGACGTTTGCCTTGCATGTGACCGACCTGGGTTCTATTCCCCGAGCACCGCCAGGAGTAATTCCTGAGTGAAGAGCCAGGAGTAACCCTTGTGCATTGCCGGGTGTGACCCAAAAAGAAAAAAAAAAAAAATTATGCCAATAACGAACATGAAATAAACTGAATATCAAATATTATATAGCATATGTAATTACTATCAGAATTTATATATCCACACCAGGCTGTTTTCAGTCGGGGACCCTGGAGGGGGGTGGTTGAGAGCCCTCCCCACCCCAAGGGACCCAACCCATGGCATTCGACCTCCACTACCCAACTGCCACCACACTCCAGGCCACTTTCTACACGCTCGGGCCGAGCCTCACATATGAGTGAACATATTCCTGAACACATCATAAGACATTCCCTACCCATTTCCCATAATTACCAAACCATATTTGATGGGTTCAGACAGTAGGCAACAAATCATAGAAATATATATATGTACATATATATATATATATATATATATATATATATATATATATACTTATAAGAACCTAGCAAGCTACCGAGAGTATCCAGCCTGCATGGTAGAGCCTGGCAAGCTACCCGTAGCATATCTGATATGCCAAAAACAGTAACAATAACAGATCTCATTCCCCTGACCCTGAAAGAGTCTCCAATACGGCAGCATTGGGAAAAATGAGTAAGGAAAGGCTGCTAAAATCTCAGGGCTGGGATGAATGGTGCCTGGATGACAGTGATACAGTGATATATACACACTTAATTTTTAGTCACTTAGAGAAAGTAAAACAGAAACACAAAATCAAAAGTTTATCTTTGGTAGAAAGTCTGATTGAAAGGGAATTAAGATGATACACTCGGTGCTGGAGCAATAGCACAACAGGTAGGGCATTTGCCTTACACGTGGCAGGCCCCAGTTGATTCCCAGCATCTCATATGGTCCCCCGAGCACCGCCAAGAGTACTTCCTGAGTGCATAGCTGGGTGTGACCCAAAAAGCAAAAAAAAGAAGGTGCACTCAAGAGACAAAAAATTAGGTTTGTGCTTAATGTATTAAGCACTATTAATGTGTCATGAAACCCAGAAAAATAATTCATATTTATGAAAGACTTATACAAACATATCAATAATCAACAAAATTTAAATGGATATGACTTCAAGTACCTGCTTAGTTGTTTGGGTTATTTTTTTTTTGTGGGGTGTTAGTATTTTAGTTGCTGACATCTTATATTTTAATTTGGCAATGATAAAAATTTAATATTATGAGGATACTAGTTCATCTATTAAAAATTAATATTATAAAATAGCCCATCTATGGTAATAGTCTCAATCTTAAAAATAACAGGAGAACAAAGAAGACTTGGTTGAGCACCAGACACTCTATTAGGAACCCTAATGAAAATTTTCCCTAATAATTCTGCGGGAAAATGTCATAAATTCATGAATACTCATTTTCCATGCTTACTAAGAGAAATATAATTAATGGCATACCTCTGACTCTTGGAATGTGTTTTCATCCGAAACACAGCTGTCTAAATTAATTTCAAACTTTACCCCTTTCTAGAAGAAAGCAAGAAAAAAAATTTAGCAATCCAATTAAAACCTAAAATAGCAATCCCCTATTTAACATTTTAGGAAGTGAAACCATTACAATAACTTCAAAAAATAAGGTAACTTTATAATATAGTAGTGGGAGCTTTTTAATATGAAACCCAAACATAAAAATGCTTATTACCTTATCCTTATGTTTCTGCTGTGGATTTTTACTTTCTTTTACATTCTGCATTGTAATTTGCTTCAGGTCTCTTTCAATATCCTGAAGGTTTAGAGAGAAATTAAAACCTATCATTTAATACTGATTGAACAATTATACAATGAAACCCCCGGATTCATAGCTTAGTATGTTTATGTTATTTGCTTTCTGTATTGATCTGATGACTGACTTGAGAATAAAGGTCTGCCTTTAGAAAGGATAGTTACGGCGCTGCAGAAGCAGCTCACAGAGCTGAGTGCATGCTTGCATGTGGGATGCCTGAATTCGATTTCCAGGAACTGAAAGGTCGCCTGATTACCTCTAGGAGTGCCCCCAGGCAACATGTCAGGAACAGGTCCTGAGTATTGACGGATGAGGCAAAAAACAACACCTTGCAGTGCTCAGGGGTTACTCCTGGTTCTGCACTCAGGAATCACTCCTGGCAGTGCACAGGGGACCATCTGGGGTGTCAGGCATCAAACCTGGGTCATCTATATGCAAGGCAAACGCCTTACCCACTGTACTATTTCTCTGACCCTAAAAAAACTACTTTCTAAAGGATATTTACTAGTTCACTGGAAACTGGACACAGTGGTCTGTTAATAACAGGAAATATGAATATATTTAGGATACATTTAACATTCACATCACAATGGATAAAATTCCATAATGTGACGATGCTCACTAAGTCCAACACAACCTAATCTTATTATTTAACAATAGGCTATTTCTAGTCCAAGTATGAGGTCTATGATCTTAATCAGGAAAACAAGAAAGTACACAGCTCACAAGAATATAAAGGAAGGAGACAGCTCTGAAAGTTGATGGAAATTTTCCAATGGGAGAGGACTGTAAAGTCAGATGACATAAAGGGTAGGGGGAGTCTCAGAAGCTAAAAATGCCTGCCTTGAAAGTGTGTGGTAATCAGTTCAGTCCCCAGTGCAGCCACTTGTGCCAATCACTCTGCTCTCTGGGACCTGTGGAACCTCAATAAAAAGCAAAACCCTCTGGAGCACAGTCAGATATACAGAAGCACCGAAGCTAAAGAGTCATCTCCAGCAAGTACTGTAACACTGTAGCACTGTCCTCCCATTGTTCATCTATTTGCTTGAGCAGCGGGCCAAGTAATGTCTCCATCGTGAGACTTGTTGTTACTGTGTCTGGCATATCGAATACATCATGGGTAGCTTGCCAGTCTTTGCTACAGGCTTTGCCATGCAGGCAAGACACTCTTGCCAGGTTTTCTAAGAGGGGGGGAGGAATAGAACCCGGGTTGCCCAGGTTGGCTGTGTGCAAGGCAAATGCCCTACCCGCTGTGCTATCACTCCAGTCCTATCTCCAGCAAGCACCATGACTAAAAGGGTCTGTGAGCACTGCGGCTGGGACTGTCATACCTCTGTGTCAGCAGCGCAAAGGCCCCCATGAGCACTGGAATAGGAATATGTACGAGCACCACAAACGGTAACCCCCACAAGAGACCAAGGATACAAGCATTGCAACCAAATGCATAGCCCCTGACAACCACCATGGCCATGTTTAACCATGTTGTCACAACAGCACAGAGGGAAGGGAAAGGGGAAAGACCAACTTTGAGGGACAGGGAGATGGTTCAAAGGGTTGAGGGTGTGCTCTGCATGCTGGAGCCCCAGGCTCAGTCCTCAGCCACCACATAATCCCCTGAGCACTGAGCCAGGAATAGCTCCTGAGCACCAAGTGAGTGTGGCCCCAAAACAAAATAACACCGAAAGATAAAGCATTGATTAGAGAGAAGAGAGAGAGAGAGAGAGAGAGAGAGAGAGAGAGAGAGAGAGAGAGAGAAGAGAGATTAAATAGCAATAAAATCAAAGAAACAGTGGTAAGACGCAGGACACAGTTTATTTTCTGCTTTTTGGGTCACACCCAGTGATGCACAGGGGATGGCAGGGATCGAACCCGGGTTGGCTACGTGCAAGGCAAACGCCCTACCTGCAGTACTATCGCTCCAGCTCCAAAGACACAGTTTAAATGATGAGATTTTTTCAGGTTTAGTACTGTCCTCTCTGCCTTCCTCAGCAAATGGGGACTCATTCATGCTCTGAATTTAATTGCCATCTTTATGCAAAACTCCTCAGAATGTCTCTCCAGGGCTAGGGAAGTGGCTCCATGGTCTGGAGTGCATGTGGGAGCCCCAAGTTCAGTCCTTAACATCTTATGGACAACCCCCCCCCCCAAGCATGGGTGGCTGTGATCCAAAAAAGGGACAAAAATGCATCTTCAGAGGCTGGGGACAGCTCAATGGTAGAGCACCTGCCTCACAGTCATGTCCCAGCTCAAGTCCAGCACTGCCCGGCCACTACTGCCCACAGCGGGGTGTGTGGTCTCAGGGGGGAAACAACAGCACTAACACGATGCAGCCCCAGGTCACTGCAAAAACAGAAGGGAAGGAAATGGAGGGGAGGGGAAGGGAATTCGCATCTTCAAGCTTCATCTGTTCTTCCCTCTGAACTTCAGACTCGCGGCGAATAGAACTGTCTTCCTAGCCCCATTTTCTTTTTTTTTTTTTTTTGTCTTTTTGGGTTACACCCGGCTATGCACAGGGGTTACTCCTGACTTCGCACTCAGAAATTACTCCTGCCTGTGCCCAGGGGACCATACGGGATGCTGGGCATTGAACCTGGGTTGGCCGCATGCAAGGCAAACGCTCTACCTACATACAGTGCTGTTGCTCCAGAACCCCCTAGCCCCATTTTCACGGTGCACAGTTCATACCAAGCAGAGCCCCACACGCCAGACACCCTCCTACACGGCGTGCCACAGTACAGAGAAAGGTCCCTGCTAGCCTGGGTCTCACGTGTGCCAGGCAGACAGATCACAGGTGAGTCATCTGATGGCAGAGAAGTATGGAGTGTTTCAAAGGAAACAAAACAGGGAAGAGCAGAACACATGAGCCGAGGGCGTATGACACAGGCAGGCTCACGCGACATCACAGAGCGGAGGGCCTGGCAAGTAGGTTCCTTGCAGAGGGATAAGGCCCCACTGGGAGCAGGGCTGCAGCTCACAGATCTGTTTGGACTCCCTTACTGTTCCCATGACACGTGGCCCCTTCCCACTCTTCATAAAGGGCTCTGGGTGGCCACGAAAATGACTCAACGGGCTGAGGCTCGGCCCTGGCAGGTGGCAGGCCTGGGTTCCATCCCTGGCAGCATATGGTCCCCTGAGTTTCAAGCCAGGAGAACCCTCCCAGAATGGCTTGATGAGGCCCAGGAACTAAAAAAAGGGACCATGCCTCCTTTCAAGACAGAACCTGAGTCTCCGTGATAGTAAAGTAAAGTAAAGTGAAGGCCCTCTCGTTGTTCATCGATTTGCTCGAGCAGGCCCAGTAATGTCTCCATCATGAGACTTGTTGTTACTGTGTTTGGCATATCGAATACGTCACGGGGAGCTTGCCAGGCTTTGCTGTGCGGGCGAGATACTCTTGGTAGCTTGCCGGGCTCTCTGAGAGGGGCGGAGGAATCGAACTCGGGTCGGTCATGTTGGCTGCGTGCAAGGCAAACACCCTACCGCTGTGCTATCGCTCCAGAGTCTCCTTGATAGGTAAAGATAAAGATAGAGAATTAAGATTTCCCATGTCCCAAAAGGCCAGTATGCCAATTTGGGATGCGGCAGTAGTCTGCCTTGGGTGGGGGGGATATTGTTTGGAATGCACAGAAACTATTCCATATAAATTTACAGTAATGAGACACTTGCACGCCCCCAAATAGTACTAAATTACAGCCTATAGGAACACTTGACTTTCAGATATCTGGGGAAATCTGTCTGGATCTAGATAGATGAGACAAAGAAATACAGTTTTGATACAAATTCTAAAGCTCTCTGTCCATCCTTTCCCATCAGGGCACTAGCCCTTCTCCCTTAGAATCAGTCACCACCCTCAGTAATTCCTGAGTGCAGAGCCAGGAGTAACCCCTGTGCATAGCCAGCTGTGACCCAAAAAGAAAAAAAAAGGACCAACTTGTTCATTCGTCTGCCCAGTTCCCTTTTCCCACCAACAATGTCATCATGACAGGGAAGAGAAGTGAGACTGAGACCCAGTTCCTGCCCCACATGTCTGAGGCCCTGGCTAAAACAAGAACTTCCCAGGCCAGAAAGCAGTTCTGACCAGCTTCTGGGCACACAGCACCCAGGTTGAGGCCCAGACTGCGTGGGCAAATCCTGGGCATCTGAGTTTGTTAAGGTTCCCCCCAGGAGTCTGCATGCAGTGAGGTCCCATCACCTCTGTGTGGGCTTCACAGCAGCACCTGCCTGGGAATCATTGTTAGCTCTCGGCCCTGCAGCCTGGAGAATGGTCTTCTCTCCTGCAGTATTAGGAATTCTGCAACAGGACTGTGCCTTATGTACATCTGACCAAAGAGGGGGTGAGTGTCACTTGCATTGCCTTGGCTGACCCAGGTTTGATTCCTGGCACCCATATACAGTCCCCTTGAGCACCACCAGGATTAAACCCTCAGTTCAGAGCCAGGAGTTAGCCTAAGCATTACCAGGTATGTCCGCCTTAAAAACAATACAAAAACAAAAAGAAAACCTTCTACCTACTCTCAGGCTACAGAGCTCCTAGAAGGCCCCAGGAATTTCACGGCACACCATCTACCTCAGTCTCCCTCCTTCCTACTTTTCCCCAGATGAGGGGGAGAGAGAGAGAGAGAGAGAGAGAGAGAGAGAGAGAGAGAGAAAAGAGTAGGGGGAGGAGGCAGAGGTGGAGGAACGGGGGTTGGGTTAGGAGACTATGAAGGATCTCCCAGAAGGAAAATTTGAAACTCTCTTCAAGACCAACTTGTTCAAGAGCTGGAGCGATAGCACAGTGGGTAGGGCATTTGCCTTGCACGTGGCCGACCCAGGCTCAATTCCCAGCATCCCATATGGTCCCCCAAGTACCGCCAGGAATAATTCCTGAGTGCAGAGCCAGGAGTAACCCCTGTGCATAGCCAGCTGTGACCCAAAAAGAAAAAAAAAAAAAGACCAACTTGTTCATTCGTCTGCCCAGTTCCCTTTTCCCACCAACAATGTCATCATGACAGGGAAGAGAAGTGAGGCTGAGGCCCAGTTCCTGCCCCACATGTCTGAGGCCCTGGCTAAGACAAGAACTTCCCAGGCCAGAAAGCAGTTCTGACCAGCTTCTGGGCACACAGCACCCAGGTTGAGGCCCAGACTGCGTGGGCAAAGCCTGGGCATCTGAGTTTGTTAAGGTTCCCCCCAGGAGTCTGCATGCAGTGAGGGCTGAGAAACAGGAACCAGAGTGGAGTCAACATCACCTGTGCCAGGCCTTCCTCTTCTCCTGCTTCTGGGCTGATGGGCAGGTCACTCTTCTTCACCAAGTAGGTTCTGTGAGTTATTCTTGAGTCCTCCTTGAACACAAAACACAGTCAACAAACTGTGCGTCAGTTGTGAGGGGTGTTTCCAAAGCCCCTGCTAGGGCTGAATGGGATCTAGGGAAGAAACGCTTTGGGACAACAGCTCTGGAGTCTGTGTGGCTCTTCCTCCTTTGGCTGTCTGGGTGTGCCACCCCCATCCCACTCCCTGCTTCTTTCAGAGTCCCCCTCCCTGCAACTGTGTCCTCGGCCCTTCCCATCACAGACCTGCCTTAAAAATAAGACGCTCAGGATGCAGGTTCCTCCTGCTACTCAGGATGCTGCCCCTCCCAGCACCTCCTACCCTCTGTCTAGAGCTGTGTCTACTTCCTCCAGAGCCCCTCCTGATTGCTGCTCTCCTACTTTTCTTCTTCTCAGACTCTGGTTAACCCCTCGCCCCCCACCCCGTTGTTCCACAAACACCCTCCTCCATGGGCTAGAGAGAAAGTACTGGGGTTAAGGACTTGACTCACACATGAGCCCTTTGGTTGCAACCCTAGTTCAATCCCCAACCCTGTATATTGTACCCCAAGTCCTGCCAGGAGTCATCCCTGAGACTAGATTTGAAAGTGTCCAAAACACAAAACACAAAAAACACCTCCTCCTGGATCAGGGCTGTGGCTCAAGGGCTGAATCTGATGCTTTATATGTAGGAGCCCCAGGGTTGGATTCTTGGCACTCCATAGTCCCTCAAACACTACCCAGTGGACCACAACCATCTATGATCAAAAGAGGGTCCTCTTACTCCTCCTCCTAACATTCTTTTCCCTGCCTTCCCAAGCTTAGCCTGAAGTCTTTTTCTACCATGATTACACACATGTGTGCCTCATTTTTTCAACTCCTAGAAACTCATTTACTTAGAAATAATAGAGCTTCTACAATCAGATATTTATTTAGTCTGTCTTGTAATAGCTAAGTGAATTGGGGTAGCTACTTAACTGTTTTGTTGTGGGTAGTAAAGGAGATAAAGTATGTGAAATCTCTTTAGACCCTGACAAGCACCATTGAATTTTATGTTTATTTCTCCTATACTAATTCATCTATATATTCCTCTGCATGTGCTTGAAATTGGGGTAAATGCAGAGAAAGAGAGATTCGTTTCAGGGTCTGAGTAGTTCTGGTCAATGAGTATACAGGTGACACAGTTGGGAGGTCAGCTGTGTGCTGGGCTGGTCTCCGTGTCCACAGGCCTCTCACAGGTTATACTTTCTAGGCCACCGAGTGGGCTTCTAGAGTTTAAATATCTGTACGTTGAGGCAGAGAGTTAGTTCAATGGGCTAAAGCACACATTTTGCATGTAGGAGGCCCTGTTGTAATATCTACTACCACATGGTCCCTTGGGCATCATTCAGTGTATTCCCAGCCATACCCCAAAAAGAAACTAAATATCTGTGTTTTTCATATAATCTGGTCCCCAAATCTAGGCTAGCTAGTTCATACACAGACTTTAGAATTTTATCCTTGCATATGAGATGATTCCGGTACAATGGCATTCAATACATGCTAGTCTTTCTTTGTACCCTATGGACACACACTTACTTTCTGCATCAAATTTAGTTCTGGAGTGAAGCAGCTGTTCTGTCAATACTTATTACTGATCCAAGAAGAAGAGTCCTTTTCCTCAACGTGCATATTTAACAATAACTATTGCTAACGGGGAATCTCAGACGTCATTATCTTGTGCCATCTTAAGTAAACCACAATAAGGGGAAGCTCCTTTGAGAGCTGATGGTTTTCTACTAAAAAACAGTTTGTGTGATAAAATTTTGTCTTTATAGGAGAAGATCATTACTTTTATTTTTATTTATTTGGGGGGCAATCTCCCAAGTGGTGGTTAGAAAGTCTGAGGACCCTTCCCAGATATTCTCTGTCAATCAGGAATACGTTTTTCCCCTGATCAAACCAGAGTTGGCCTAAGTAAGCAAGTGCCTTAATCCCTGTACTGTTTCTCTGGCTCCTAGTTCATTACTTTTAATACCTTCTTAGTTAGTTAACACTAAATCAATAGAACAGTGTTTCCTTTAGGAGAATGAATTCATTTACCTCCAGTCCACTGCCCATCCTCTTTCTAATTTCCTTCATGTCACTGTGGTACTGTTGGCGGATTTCTTCTAATTGCTTCCAATATTCCTGAAAAAGAATCCCAATCCAATTTTTTTAATGACTGTGAATAACTTAACCAAAATGTTTTAATTATTGTGAGCTACTTCAGGCAACTTAAAATCTCTCTACAGCTTATGATCTTAAAAACATGTAATTATACAGGAAGAATTAGGAAAGCTATTACTCCTGACGATGATAATTGGCCTCATGTTTTGCTTGTGATACTAATTCCCCATGAATGTCATAGTAGCTCACAGGGAATCTCACTTATGTGTAAAACTCAAGTTTTATGTATGCTAATGACATACAATGACTTTCTTTTTCCACTTTAATAAATAATCCAGTTATGAGTTAAATTTTAAGATACAATGGAGTCTTCATTCCCTAGAACTCAAGAACAGAAACAAATTCAAACACTGTCATATCTGATGAAATTGGTTGAGGTGAGGTCTCCCTATGGGCCAGACTCAAATGGCTAGAGCAGATATGCTTCTCACACGAGCCCTGAGTTAGATCCCTAGCACTGCATGGTTTCCCAGAGCACCAATGGTCACCCCTGAGCACCAAGTTAGGAGTAACCCCAAGAATCACCAGCTCTAACCCAAAGACAAAAAGAAAAAAAATCCCCCACTGGAGTTCAATACAACTGGTTTTCTTTAAAAAGATGGACATGCAGGAGAGATCTGTGACCAGGCTAATGCCACTGGATGGGACAGTGATGCAGCAGAGACAGTGGCCAGCCTGGAAATCAGAATGCGACAAACCCCTAGGTTCCAGGGAAAGGCAAAGGAATATTCTTTCCCCTGCCCATTTCAAATGGATCATAACCCTGCTCTTCCTGGATTTTGGACTTCAGCTTCCAGACTATGAAGCAATACATCTCTGGGTTTTGTTTCTTTCACTGAATGAGATTTGCGGGTAGGGTGTTTGCCTTGTGTACAGCCAGCCCGGCCGAGCCGGGTTTGATTCCTCCGCCCCTCTCAGAGAGCCCGGCAAGCTACCGAGAGTATCTTGCCCGCACGGCAAAGCCTGGCAAGCTACCTGTGACATATTCAATATGTTAAACACAGTAACAACAAGTCTTAAAATGGAGATGTTACTGGACCCGCTCGAGCAAACTGATGAACAACGGGAAAACAGTGACAGTGTGACAGTGAGATTTTGTGGTTTACAACATTACTCATATTGGTTTCTCATGCACCAGATTCCAACATCTCACCCCTCACCAGCGTACCCATCTCTCTCCTGAAGGGATGCCAGGCCCTTCCCTTCTGAATTCATTCAGAAAGAAAGGGATAAGTCTGTTGTTTTAAGCCACCAATGTGGTCGACTGGAAGGCAGCCCTTGAAAATTAATAAAAATGTCTCAAATCATAACAGTGGAAGCTTTGTTGATGTCTGTCAAGGCCCTGGTGCTGTATTCTCTGAGAAAGTGAGATGCCTGTCTCTGTGTCCCTTAAGAGCTCTAGATAGATTATCATTCAGATTTAAAGGAATGATACAGAGCTTTATGGATAGGCAATTCATAGCCTTGACACCAGTTTTGTCAGAAGGGTTAGAAAGGATCCTTGAAAGGACAGGAGAAACTTCCCACCTTGTGGTATTGAGTGTGGCTTTCACTAATGGTACATATGGTTATTCTCTACTATATTAAGAAAAGTTAAAAACAGATAGCAATTAACCATGACAAATTGACTTTTAGTGATTTATTTTCTAATGATTCTATTTGCTTTCCTTTAAGGTTTTTGGACCACGTAATATAAAATAAATGTGCTATATGCTTCTCAAAAGGAGAGAGATAACAAAAGGAAATGCCCTGCCACAGAGGTAGGTGAGATTGGGGGTGGGGGGTTGGGGGGTGGGAGGGATACTGGGACCCGTGGTGGTGGAAAATGGGCACTGGTGGAGGGACGGGTATTTGATCATTGTATAACTGAAACCCAAGCACAAAAATTTGTAAGTCTACAACTGTACCTCATGGTGTTCAGTAATAAAAATTTAAGGAAAACAAAAGAAAGAGTCCATAGGGAAACTGCACTGTATAAACAAAAATGTCTTTTTAGAATAACTGACCTAAAGTTAGCTCTTGAAGATTCTGTGAGCTATCAGTTAATGTCTCCTAAATAGAAAAGCATGCTGAATATACTAATGAAATGTGTATTCTCTTTTTCTGTCATTTTATTATAACTGTGGTAAAATGGTTATAGAGGTATTAACAGTTGTGGTATTCATATACATATTTTGTCAGCACGGTCCTCACGGTCACGGTCCTCCCGTTGTTCATCGATTTGCTCGAGTGGGCCCTGTAACATCTCCATCACGAGACCTGTTGTTACTGTGTTTGGCATATCGAAAACATCATGGGTAGCTTGCCAGGCTCTCCCGTGCGGGCGAGATACTCTCGGTAGCTTGCGGGGCTCTCTGAGAGGGGCGGAGGAATCGAACTTGGGTCGGCCGTGTTGGCCGCTTGTAAGGCAAACGCCCTACCGCTGTGCTATCACATATACCAAAACAAATTTTGCTATATGCTTGCCAATGGGGTGGGAGTGGGGGACCACAATGGCGCTCCTATGAGTGTGTCCAAAATTAGCAGTACAGCTGACTGTCTGCAGAAATTAAACATCACACCTCATCACATGCAAAAGACAGTGAGGAAGTCACAGGACCAGACTGTTTCCCACCTGTTCCTTTACTTCCTTTGTCCTGGGCTGCGGCTCCTGGGACCGAGGATCTTCTCCAGCACATCTGGGCTCTGGTCTCCAGTGATGTCTGCACTCAGCAGAAGATGGACGAAGACCCTATTAGTTGAATAAAATCATTTGCCACACATATTTACATTTTGACAACATCTGCTTTGACCTAGTCCTTTAAAGAAAGAAGTACAACACCTGCGAAACGTGGTATTTCTAACAGCATACTTATAAAAACTATGGACTGTTGGGGCTGAAGAGATAGTACAGCAGGTGGGTCATTCACCTTGCAGGAAGCTGATCTGGGTTTGATCCCCGGCACCCCATATGATCCCTTGAGCACTGCCAGGAGTAATCCCTGAGTGCAGAATCAGGAGTACCCCTGGAGCACTGCCAGGTGTGGCCCAAAACAAACCACGAAAAGGCATGAACTATCAAAGTAAAGAAAATGAGTAAAACCATGTGTGTTGTTTGTCCTAAGCAATCAATAGTATCCACTACCAGCTAAGATCGTCCTCATTTTCTGACCTGGTCAATCATAACTGTAAAATTAAAAATTCTGGGATAGTTTAGCAGCCTGGAATTAGGAAAGGGACTAGAATTAAAGCTTTGGAGCTGCTCAGACAAGAGGCTAAAGAGTGTAGACATTTAGGCTCAAATCCAGATTCCCCAGGCCCCAAATTTGGACTCTGCTGAAGGATAAAGGATAGCTTTCATTTCAAATTAAGTGCAATTGCCAATTTTTTAAATGTGGAGAATTCGATAAAATGGAATCAAAGATCTGTAGCTCTTTTTTTTTTCTATTTGGGTCACACCTGGCAATGCACAGGCATTACTCCTGGCTCTGCACTCAGAAATTACTCCTGGCAGTGTTCAGGGGATCATATGGGATGCTGGGAATCGAACCCAGTCAGCCACATGCAAGACAAATGCCCTACCCGCTGTGCTATCGCTCCTGCCCAGAACTGTAGCTCCTGAGAGGGGTGGGGGGGGGGGGGGGCAGGACTCTGAAGCTTGCCTGCTTGCTTCTCAAAAAAAGAAAGAAAAAAAAACAGACTCAGAGCTGGTACAGGACCTGCCTAAGGCCACACAGTGCTACAGCCTGCAAAGAAACTGGGCTTCCCTGGCCTGCCTCAAGCCTATTTCTAGGATTTCTTGTTTTGGTTTGGTTTGTTTGGGGGCTACACCTGGTGATGGTGCTCAGGAATCATTCCTGGCGGAGCTCAGAGGACCATATAGATGCCAGAGATTGAACCCGGATCTGACACATGCAAGGCGATAGCCCTACCCGCTGCACTCTGGATTCTCTCTGTTAGATTCCAGATTAGCAACCCGGGGCCAGGAGATAGCTCAGCAGTCAGGTTTGAACCCAAGTTGGATCCCCGGTATCTTATGGTCCCTCAAGCACCACCACGCCACCCCGGGGACTCAGCAGCTCCGCACTGCCCAGCTGCACACTGAGCAGTCCAGCCCGGTGACCGAGGATCACTGGGGGTGCCGACTACCCTGGGCGTTGCTTGGGAGGTACCCCCAAACACTAAAATCAGGTGCAGCTGCGCACATGCGCGTCTTGGTGCGCAGATTCAACAAGAGCTCGGCGCCGGGGGGGGGGGGGGGGGGGGGGGGGGGGGGGGTGGGGGGGGGGGCGGGGGGGGGGGGGGCGGCTGGACAGTTCTTGCGGCCACTCACCAGCTGCTGTTCGGCTTTCAGCTTGTACTGTTGAGCCTCACGTCTCCTCTGCAGATACGCGGCGCTGCGGGGAGGTAGAGCGCGCAGGGTGAGACTGCGAGCCTGGCCCGGCCTCGCCTCCCCGCACAGGTGCACCACAGGTGCACACTGGGGCTCCACCGCCGGCTGAGCCAGGAGGGAGAGCAGGGCGCAGCCGGGGAGCCTCAGGGACCCCGCAGGGCAGGGCTGTGGGATGTCACCCAGACTTCTCCCGCCCGCAAGGCCTCCGCCGCAGAGCCGCGCCTGAGCCCCCTCAGACCAGCGAATTTTTCAATTAAGCCAGGAGATTGAAAACTCATCGGTGGTTTGAGGTGCAAGGAGTTGTTGGTCCAAAGGGACAGAAGCATGTGTACATTTGGAGAAGAAAATCTTCCCAGGGCTGCAGCACAGCCCATGGGGCCAGCGCACCTGCTGCCCAGGTAAGATTCCCTGGCACGCCAGGAAGGAGCCCTCTGGCTGCTGATCAAGCTGCTTATTGGTCATGATCCCAGAGACTCAGAAACAAAGCTCAGAACCCAGCAGCGTTTGGCAGAAATGCGTCTGGACTACGCATTAGGTTTTCAGCACCGGACCACCCCAGGTGGGAATGGGTTTCGCGCCTTGGCCTGTTTCCCCTGACTGCTTGGTCGCCATCTTCATCTTCCAGAGGCCTAGGGACAGCCAGGGAAGGCCCGGAATGAGGAGGAATGGGGAGCCACATGGGATGTGGGTGGAGCCACCCCCCCCCACAAGACCGAGAGTTGCCGCCCATGAATGAGCCCTCTGGCTGCTGATCAAGCGGCTTATTGGCCATGATCCCAGAGACTCAGAAACAAAGCTCAGAACCCAGCAGCTTTTGGCAGAAATACGTCCAGACTATGCATTAGGTTCCCAGAACCGGACCACCCCAGGTGGGTTTTGTGTCTTGGCCTGTTTCCCCTGACCGCTCGGTCGCCACCACCATCTTCTGGAGGCCTAGGGACAGCCAAGGAGGGCCCGCAATGATGATGAATGCAGGGCCTCATGGAATGGGGGCAGAGCCGGCCCTCCTCCCATACAAGACTGAGAGTTGCCACCCACGAATGAACCGTTTGGCTACTGATCAAGCTACTTATCAGCCATGATCCCAGAGACTCAGAAACAAAGCTCGGAACCCAGTGGCTTCTGGCAGAAGTGTGTCCAGATTTAATTATTAAAACTTCAGAATTCCAAAATCACGCAGCTGCAATCGCGGCCATGTGTCATCATATGCAATTCATAATCAGCAATAGAAAACAAATTGTCGTCTCTGGAAAGAAAGATGGCGGCCGCACGGGAGCCTTGTGGAAAGCGGGTTTGAGCCGGGCTCGGGGAAGCGGCGGGGACCTCATGGGAAGGGGGGCTTTGTGGGCCGTCCCCCACGCCCCACCGAGGTCGCCGGCTGCCCCCCACGAGCGGCTCTCCGGCACGGCCACGGCCCCGGAGGCACAAGGACTTAGCACAGAGAACCAGCCGCTTGGAGCAGAAAAGCAAATGGACTTGTGTTGATGCGCGCCACCAAGCCTGCCCGGAGGGGGAAGGGCGTTGACCGGCCCGCCCGCTCCTCTCTGGAAAGAAAGATGGCGGCCGCACGGGAGCCTTGTGGAAAGCGGGTTTGAGCCGGGCTCGGGGAAGCGGCGGGGACCTCATGGGAAGGGGGGCTTTGTGGGCCGTCCCCCACGCCCCACCGAGGTCGCCGGCTGCCCCCCACGAGCGGCTCTCCGGCACGGCCACGGCCCCGGAGGCACAAGGACTTAGCACAGAGAACCAGCCGCTTGGAGCAGAAAAGCAAATGGACTTGTGTTGATGCGCGCCACCAAGCCTGCCCGGAGGGGGAAGGGCGTTGACCGGCCCGCCCGCTCCTCTCTGGAAAGAAAGATGGCGGCCGCACGGGAGCCTTGTGGAAAGCGGGTTTGAGCCGGGCTCGGGGAAGCGGCGGGGACCTCATGGGAAGGGGGGCTTTGTGGGCCGTCCCCCACGCCCCACCGAGGTCGCCGGCTGCCCCCCACGAGCGGCTCTCCGGCACGGCCACGGCCCCGGAGGCACAAGGACTTAGCACAGAGAACCAGCCGCTTGGAGCAGAAAAGCAAATGGACTTGTGTTGATGCGCGCCACCAAGCCTGCCCGGAGGGGGAAGGGCGTTGACCGGCCCGCCCGCTCCTCTCTGGAAAGAAAGATGGCGGCCGCACGGGAGCCTTGTGGAAAGCGGGTTTGAGCCGGGCTCGGGGAAGCGGCGGGGACCTCATGGGAAGGGGGGCTTTGTGGGCCGTCCCCCACGCCCCACCGAGGTCGCCGGCTGCCCCCCACGAGCGGCTCTCCGGCACGGCCACGACTCCAGGGCACAGAAATCAATCTCTTAACTAGCTAACTTTTAATAGAAATTCTTCCAGGGTCAATAAGTAAAATAGCAGAAATTCAAAACCGCGCGGCCGCTATCGCGGCCGCGCGACATCATTTTATTCTTAAACCAAGTTCTAGAAAGCAAATCATTTCACAACGCTGTTTCAGCATGTCTGATTGGGGGGGGGGTGGGTCGTAAACTCTAAACAATAATTGTGCATCTTCTATCGAAATAATCTATCTAGTCAAAGTAGATAGAGTATTAACTAGAACTCATCTGCCTCATAAGAATTGGGAGGGGTGGGAGGTGGGGGTCTATTGGGGTTCGGGGTTAAAAATGAGTATTGGTAAAGGGAAATGTGTTCGGTATCTACATGACTGAGACCTAAACCCGAAAGCTCTGTAACTTTTCCCACAGTGATTCAATAAATAAATAAATTAAAAAAAAAAAAAAAAAAAAAAAAAAAAAAAAAAAAGAAAACAAATTGTCTAATGTTGCCTTTTCAGCAGATCTGAGTGTTGGGGTAAAATCCTAAATAATAATGATGGGTTTGGTGTAGCAATATTGAATGTAAACAAAGTACAGAGAGAGTGACGTGGAAATCATCTGCCACACTGGTAGGGGGAGGGTGTAGGATGGGGGATATATTGGGGGTTTTGGTGGTAGAAAATGTGCACTGGTGAAGGGTCAGGTATTTCATCATTGTATGACCAAGACTTAAATGTGAAAACTGTGTAACTGCTCTCACCGTGTTTCAATTAAAAACAAACAAACAAAACGACTCCCTGGCATGGCTGAGAGTGAGTGAGCCCCGTGCCACAGCCAGATCACGAGAAACCCCAGGGCCTTTGAGCACCCCTTGGAAGATGTGCCCCCTCAAATAAAAGGGAAAGCAAATTATGAACGAATTAAGAGTATGAGGTATTAGGTATTAAAATGAAGAATCTTTTTGGTTTATTCATTTCAGGATGAACTGGAAGGCTTTCAGAATAAATATTAATGTAAGAAGATGTTTTCAGAGGACCAAGTCTAAGTTAGAGTGTGACATTACCATGGTTCTGGGGACAGGCGGTGACCCTCCCCTGCCATTTCTCTTCCAGGAGCATGGTGACAGCCCTCTGGCGCGTGGGCTCTCCTCAGCAACTCAAGTTGGGCGTAATAGTAGTCGTAGCGTCTTTCCACTGCAGCAAGTCTGGGCCTCTCCACCATCCTTGTCTGAGGGATTCAGACAGAGGAGTTCTTTAAAATATGGATAATAAAGTAGATTTGTACTTTGGGATTCCCAAGGGGGATCACCCCGGTCACTTGGCCCATGTGACAAGCCTAAGTCAGAGTGAAGTGTGAGACAAGGCCTCACAGTTATTTTTGTTGGTTTGGTTTGGGTTTTTTGGGCCACGCCTTGTGGTGCTCAGGGCTTACTCCTGGCTCTACCCTCAGGGATCACTCCTGGCAGGACTTGGACCATATGAGGTAAGTAAAGTAAAGTAAAGGCCCTCCTGTTGATCGTCGATTTGCTTGAGCGGGCCCAGTGACGTCTCCATTGGAGACTTTGTTGTTACTGTGTCTGGCATATCGAATACGTCACGGGTAGCTTGCCAGGCTCTGCCGTGCGGGCGAGATACTCTCGGTAGCTTGCCGGGCTCTCCGAGAGGGGCGGAGGAATCAAACTCGGGTCGTCCATGTTGGCTGCGTGCAAGGCAGACGCCCTACCCACTGTGCTATCGCTCCAGCCACCATATGAGGTCTGGGGATTAAATGCAAGATGGCTGTGGGCAAAGCTAGTGCCAACCCATTGTCCACGTTGGATCATAAAAGCAATCTAACTACTTACCAATGCATTTTATAACAAGTCTTTACATGAAATAAATACTTCCAATTAGTCCTCTATTTAAAAAAAGTTAATAGTCTTTCTTTCTTCCTTCCTTTCTTTCTAAATTGAATCACTGTGAAGGGTCAGGTATTTCATCACTGTATGACCAACACTGTCACAGGGTTACTCATGAAAGGGTTTCAGTCATTTCAAACACCCATCCCTTCACCAGTGTATATTCCCACCACCAATGTCCCCAGTTTCTCTTCCATCACCTTCCCCACCTTGCTCCCCACTACCCTGCCCCGCCTGCTTCTATGGCAGACACTTTTCTCTGTCTCTGTCTCTGTCTCTGTCTCTGTCTCTCTCTCTCTCTCTCTCTCTCTCTCTCTCTCTCTCTCTCTCTCTCTCCTTCTGGGCAATATATTTTGTAATATAGGTACTGAGAAATTATCATTTGTATCCCTTTACCTACTATCAGCACTCAGTTCTTGTCCAGAGTGATCATTTCCAACTATTGTTGTCATAGTGGTCCCTTGTCTGTCCTAACTGCCCTCCCCTCACCATCCCACTGGTGGCAAGCTTCCATTCATGGACCAATTCTCCTATCCCTTGTTTTTATTGTCTGTGGGTACTAGTCTCATGTTATCTTTTTTTACATCCCACAGATGGATTAAACCATTCTATGTCTGCCTCTCTCCTTCTGACTCATTTCCTCTATTTTAAAGAATCCATGCAACTTCTTTAAAAATATAGTTCTTAGAGAGCCAAAAAGATAACACCGTGGGTAAAGCTCCTAGCCTTGCATGTGGCATACCTGGTTTTGATCCCTAGCACTACATATAGTACTCGGGTGATGCCTGAGCCTGCAGTCAGAAGTAAGCTATGAGTACCACCAATTCTGCTGGCTTAGAAAAACAAAAACCAAACTAATATGCAATTATAAATTTTAAAATGGCTCAATAACTGGAGCATATGCTTTGCATGCAGGAGGCCATGGTTTAAGCTCCCTGAACCCAGTGGTCCCTCAAGCACTGTGCCAAGAGTGGCCCCTGAGTACCCGCCTGGTGTGGCCCTAGCAACAACAGTAACAGAATGCAATTCTTTTTTTTTTTAATTTTTATTAGTGAAACACCATGAGACACAGTTGTAGACTTACAAATTTTTGTGCTTGGGTTTCAATTATACAATGTTCGAATACCCATCCCTCCACCAGTGCCCATTTTCCACCACCACTGATCCCAGTATCCCTCCCATCCACCTTCCCCCCCCCCCCCCCCCCCCATCCTACCCTTCCTCTGTGGCAGCGCACAGAATACAATTCTTGGGCTGGGGAAATAACAGAGCTGGAGCACATGCTTCACATGCAGGAGCCATTGGTTCAATGCCCAGCACCTCATAGTCCACTTTGATTGAGCCAGGTATGGCCTAACACCACCCCCCCACCAAAGAAAGCTGAAAATAGAAATAACTCCTTTTAGGGGGAGGGAGGTTTGGGCCACACCCAACTGCTTAGGGCTTACTCCTGGTTCTGTCATCAGAGATCCTTCCTAGCAGTATTTGAGGGCCAGTGTGTATTGCTATGGAATGAAAGTAGGTCGGCCCTATTCAAGGCTGTACACCTTACCTGCTTACCACATGCATCTGCAAGTATTGACTTTCTGGCCCCCAATTTACAACTCTTCACTTTAAAAACGATACAAATTTTAGCATTTATATGCCAATTATTCACTAGTATAGACTAAAAAAGATTTAACACAGATGAAGTGAATTTAAATAACTGAAACAGAAAGAACCTCTGGGTGGGGGGGGGCAATAATCAATGGTTATATAATAGAATTATCCAATTACAGATACCATGTCAGAATTAGCCCTAGCACTAGCACTGTCATCCGTTGTTCATCAGTTTGCTTGAGCAGGCACCAGTAATATCCCCTTGGTGAGACTTGTTGTTACTGCTTTTGGCATATCGAATACGCCACGAGGAGCTTGCCAGGCTCTGCCGAGTGGGCAGGATACTCTCGGTAGCTTGCTGGGCTCTCTGAGAGGGAAGGAAGAATTGAACCCAGGTAGGCCGCCTGCAATTAAAAGTGTAAATTGCATCTTTTCTGCCACTAGCTGAAAACAGAAATAGTACATGTGCAGCAAGGAGCTTGCCTTGCATGCATCCAATCCAGCACTTTTATGGCACCCCTCCCCCCAGCACCACTGGAGTAATCATTGAGCACAGAAACAGGAGCAAGCCCTGAGCACCACCAGGTAAAGGTAAAAAGGTAAAGGCCCTCCCGTTGATCGTCGATTTGCTCGAGCAGACCCAGTAACGTCTCCATTGGAGACTTTGTTGTTACTGTGTCTGGCATATCGAATACTCTCGGTAGCTTGCCGGGCTCTCCGAGAGGGGCGGAGGAATCGAACTCGGGTCGGCCATGTTGGCCGCTTGTAAGGCGAACGCCCTACCCGCTGTGCTATCGCACTACCAGGTATGGCCTCCAAACCAAAGAAGATAAGTAGGTAGGTAGATAGATTTTAAAAAAAGTAGCTGCTGTTCAATAAAGTTCCATGTTAATTTTCATACAAAATAGTACTATAAGCAAAAAAAAAAAAAAAAGAAACAACGAAAAAAACCTGTAGACTTCAAAATCACAATTCTCTCCCCATGAACATGTGTGAATAGGTCTGTATATATTTGTCACCGACTTAAAAACCAAAGGAAGGACTTAGTTCCACTTACAGGCAGGGGCTTCTCGGACGCAGCTGGCGGTCTCCATCGGTCTCTGGGTAACACAGTCTTCCTGGTGGGCACTGATACCCTGGCTCTTGGCAAGCACATTCCCTGGAATCTCACTTTCTGTATCTTAGACTCTAAATCAACCAAAGGAGAACAACTTCAATCTGTATGATATCCACACCTTTAGTATTGATGCTTGCAAAAATATAAACATTTGAGATTTCACACCACAGTAAATTTACTTAAGCCAGTGACTTTTTCCTTTTTCTTTTTGGTTAAACAGAGAGATGCTCAGGGACCACCAGGGCTACTCAGAGGACCATGAATGTTGGGATGGAACCCAGGGCCTCAAATATTCCAGGCACGTTCTCTATCATGTGAGCCACATCCTTGACCCATACAGAAACACTTATGCCCAGCAGGAGCAGTGCTGATGGGACATTATTATTATGTATTTTCTCTGAATGGAAGAAAATCATTTTCCCCAGGATTTATTTGCATATTTTAAGTAATGAAGAATACAAGCTTTTTTAAAAATAGAAATTAATGATAACTTTTACAGAAATGATATTATTAGGATAAATAAATGGAATTATCAGAGCTAGGATAATCACATTGCATTATTGTTTGAAATATGACTAGGTCTCTAATGTCTTCTGAAGTATCTTTGTTGACATCAAAATTTGTTCTTGTTTTTCTATTTTGAAACACATACAACGCTCTTTCTCCCTACCTCCTCTTAACCGCTTCTAAATATTCTCAACATAGACCAATATGTAACACAATATCAAACCAAACTGAGCATGACAAAGAAGCTCATTTACCTTTTTTCCTATTTTCCTTCATTTTAGTTTATCATGCAGTACCAGTTCCTTGGAGAGATTTTTCAACTCTTCCTCATCCTTTCAGTTCAGATACTGGTTATAGCTAAATCATAACCAGTATCTGTTTCTCTTCTATTACAGACTCAATAATTTTCCTTCTTTAATTTTTCTCTGTCTTAAACACACACCCGTACACAGAAAGAGAGATAAAGAGAGAAACAGAGAGAGAGGGGGAGGGAGAGAGAGAACCCCACCATCTAATTCCCAGCACTAGAATTATTTCCCTTTTTATCATAGCTATAAAGCATGCTCTGATTTCTTTGAGTATTACATAGTAATGCTTCCCAGTCTGTTAAACCAATTACGTCCAAGATACTCACATGGGCTTTTGCAAGAGAACAAAGGAAGGGAAAGGAAAGAGAAGAAAGGAAGGAAAGCAGGCAGGAGGGAAGGAGGGGGCAGTAATGGGAAGAATTTATAAGCGTCCATTCTCTGCATTTCAAAATAGGTAAAGCTTCATCTCATCATCTGTGTCTGTCTACGAACCTCCTCTTATTCAGGGGTAGCCCTTTCCTGCACAAAAGGCTGGTTCTAACTCTTCAGTGATCTCTTTATTAGTAAATTACTGCTTCATGGAATTTTTCTGACTAATGAGGAGAAAAGAGATGAGTCCTCCAGGTCACAGTTGAGTTTTAGATAAGTTCTTGGGCACATTCACCAGTCACTGTTGAACAAGATGATTTCTTTCTCTGAGCTTAGATGGCTCATATTTTTTCATTTTGTTTTGTTTTGGGACCACACGTGGCAATGCTCAGGGCTTACTCCTGACTCTGCACTTGGAAACCAGTCCTGGTACTGCTCAGGGGGACCAAATGAGATGCTGGGGGTTGAACCTGGGTCAGCCATGTGCAAAGCAAGTGCTTCACCCATTGTACTATCGCTCTGGCCCTAGATGGCTCATTCTTACCGATATGATCAGCCCCATATTATATCTCTCTGCGTGAACAGTTGTCATGAATGTTTTAGGTCTGCATATCTATGAACTGTCTACGAACCTCTTCTTATTCTCTACCCCTATCCTGCACAAAAGTTAAAGTTGGTTCTGTTCACTCTTACCATGAACTGCCTTCCCAGCAGGTCGGGAAACTGATGGTTTTGATCTGTTTTTGAGATTGTGCTTGAATTCTTCCTGAATGGCCTGAAACCAAATATACATGTCAAGACCTCACTAACCCGAAGCTCTGGCAAACTCCAGACAGAATCACCTCAAAATTTACCTCAGGAGTCAAGTGTTTGGCAATAAGTTTCTCTAGAAAAGGTTTTCTCAAAATGGAGTTGACAGATGGTCGGGCTCTAGGAGAGACCTTGAAAAGCTGAGATATCAAGGCCCTCAGGTCAGGGGAAAACTTTGGAGATATGGGGGTGAAATGTGCTTGACAAATCTTCAGAACCAGATGGTGTAAGCTGCTCCCCTCAAACTGAAAGGACAAGGAATAATGATGCTATGTCAGCAAAGAGTACAACATCATCTTTTAGAGTATTAGCATAAAATAAAATAATAGACATAAATTGTGTGTTATTGTGGATTAAGACCAGCACCCTTCATAGACAAGCATGCATCTATTACTGAGTGACAATAACAAGCCCAAAACTCTCTATTTATTATAATTTTGATAAAAATTGTTTTTTAAAAAACTAAAAGCAGGCTATATAGTACAGTGAGTAGGGCGCATATGGCTGAAGTGGGTTTGACCCCAAGCACCCCTTACAGTCCCCTGAACCCCTCCAGGAGTGATCCCTGAGCAGAGCCAGGAGTAAGTCCTGAGCACTGATATATCTCCCCCCACCGAGTAAAAATGAATGAAAATAAAAAGATTAGCAGGTTCTGCCCCTTTGGGTGATGGATTTATTTGTATTTTTCCTGGCTATTTATAACTTTTTTATTCCTTATACTTTTTTATAGAAAACTGGGATGGGGGTTCCCATATAGTGCTCTGGGGACCCTGGGTCTCCTGGTGAGTCTTAGCCACCATGACTCACAGTTCAGTGTGAAGATACAACGATATGTTCAGCTGCATGGTGTGCTTAAACCAGTCCAAAATAATTAGGTGATGAATTCAAAATTAAAAGGCAGCAAACTCTCAAAATTAAAAACCAGCAAACTCTTCTGGGAAGGGTCAGCTGATATGGTAGAAAAAGTTTCCTGTGTCTAGTTCTTCTCCCCAAAACCCATTCTACAGGATGGGATGTGCTGGAAATTAGCCAGATTAGCCAGAAATATGTGTTTAGACTTGCAGACTCAGGATATTGCCCACCACGAAAGTTACTGAAGTGGCTGCAGTGCCCACTGTTCTGTGAAACCTGCCCTTACTGAAAACTGATTCTCTTGTGTTCTACATCCACTGACCACACAGGCAAGACAGTTATTTTGAGGACATGGGTCCACATCTTCCAGCCTGCTGGCTTGTTGTTGGATCTTTCTCTACCTGTCCTTTGGTGTCTGGATTGACCTGTAAGCCCTTGAGTGGCAGTGGAACCGACCTTTGAGGAGAGTTGGCAGATCTGGTCAGACCCTTGATAATGATTAAAAACAATGATGATCGTGATGGTGGTACTGATGAAGATGGCAGCATGGACGAGTTAACACAGTAGGCTGAATGCTGCTGCCCATCAAGAGGCCTGCTTACAACTAGCCCTTAGTGACCCCTGGGAACTTAAATTTTAGGAGTGTTTCCACCCCTTCCTAAAGGTTCAGAGTGACACTTTTCTGCCTAAACTATGAAAACAGCATTGGTGGCAGAGTACTTTGTTCCCTTCCCAGGAGTTTGGCAGCTTGACATGTAAAGGGTAAAGGGTGTCTCCCTGACTAGTCCCCAACTAAACCCTGACACAGGGTCACTAATGAGCTTTCTCAGCTGATAGCATGACGCATGTGTTGTCACGGCTTATGTCTAGGGGTATGTAGTCATCAGGTGGGGCTTCATGGACAAGAACTCATGGAAATTTGTACAACATACTTCATCCCATGCACATTTTCCCTTTGCTTATATATGTATATGTGTGTGTGTGTGTGTGTGTGTGTGTGTGTAACGATCATGATCACGATCATCCTGTTGTTCGTTGATCACCTCGAGCAGGCACCAGTAACATCTCCTTCATCTGTGTCCTGAGATTTTAAAAAGTGCCATATTCAAGGCTCTTTCAGAGTTAGGAGAATGAGACCCTTCATTGTTACTGGTATTTGGCATATTGAGTATGCCACGGGGAGTTTGCCAGACTTCGCCATGTGGGCAGGTTACATTCAGTATGTGTATGTGTAACATACATTCATAAATATATTATTTTTACTTTTATATTTTGTTTTTTGCTTGGAGGCCACCCCCAACAGTGCTCAGGGGCTTTTCCTGGCTCTGTGCTAACCCTATTTTGGCTACCTTATGGTGCCAGGCATGGAATCAGGGTCAAGCACATTCAGATACACACTTACTCCCCAGACTATCACTCTGGCCCCAAACACTTGATTTCTTCATGGCAATGTGCTAAATAGTCTATCCTCCAGCTTGGATTTTCCTCCTTCCCTTCCCTTTTCTATACAATACGGCTTGGATGTGGCATCTGCGTGTGTGGCTGTGCTGCTCTCTGGGGTCCTGCTCACTCTCTGCACCCTAGCTGGGGGTGGGGGTGCAGGAGGACGCACACTGCTGAGGCCCAGCAGTCCCAGACAGCAGGGATTCTGGTACCATCCTCTGCACATGGGGGTACAACCGACATCAAAGCCACAGCTTCCAGCTTACAGGCAGGGGCACTTGCCTTTGAGCTTGCCCTAGCCCCAACTTGGATGCTTCACTTCCTAATATAGAATAAACATCTTTCCATAACAATACAGGAAAGATTAACCATCCTCCACCAAAGAGTGTCCATATAATTTTTAGTGCTCAAATAAAACTAACATTTTTTCACTCAGAAGTTGATTTCACTCACACAGTTTCACTGATTAAATGTTAGTCTGATGACAAACATACTTACGGGATGTCTGAGCGTGCAGAGTTCATATAAGACACAGCCAAGAGACCAAATATCCCTGAGGAAGATAACAGTTTACATAACAAGCAAATATTCCTAATACTCAATGAGAGCATTTACCCTTAGAACCTTCTATTTGTGTTATTTTAAAATCTTAAGTAGGTCAACCACTTTTCACAAATGCTTTTAGATGCATAATCAATTCTCATTCTCATCAAGACAAAACATAAATGAAAACAATATTTAGTTTGCCCAAATCCCAGCAGAGAAGAAGTATACAAACTGTGTTACATGGAAGGACCTTTATAAAACTACCCATAGATCAAATAAACCACAAAGATTTTCAGTGAGTCATTAGATATTCATTCCTGTAAGAAAGGTTAGTTGTGAAGCCCCCTGCCAATTGCTCCCACCACCATCCCAGCTCCCAGAAACCCCCGCCCCTGTGCCCACAATAAACATTTTTCATGACAGATTTTATCTCCTGGCCCTTGCATTTCCCTACTGAGAGATGACATCTGCCACAGAGCTATCAACCCAGACTTCACAGCATGCATCTCCCTCCTGAGATGAGTTCAAGTACACATTTCCTATTCGCCAGGATATTAGAAAATCACCATATGGTTGCCCAAACAAATACTTGCTTGTGTTGCCTTAATGAAATATTTTTTTCTATTGCAATCAGCCTACCTGTAGGAACAGAAGAGGTTACTGGAGAAGCAATAAAGCAGAATCTCTTCCTGTGGGTCTTCATTCCCTGCCTAGGCCTTGGCTTGGCTCTTTATTACATATTCTGTTAGTAATTTTTGAATTTGTTGACAGTTGTAACTAGTTAACGGCTAAAGTAGATGACTCAATATTTACTTCAACTTCATGTTCTCAAAGGAAGTGTGGGCAGTGAACTAAGATGTGACTTGTCCATGGAACACTGCCTTCATATGTGAGGAAATTTGTTTTGCTAGAATCCGGTTGATATGGGGAGGTAATATATTTCTGCACATGCTCTTCACAGACCCAGTTAGACTCTGTCATGAGCACAGTCTCCAGCACTCAATAAACATTTGAAAAGTGTAACATAAGATTCTAGACCAAATCCTTAGTACTCAGTTTTTTTGTTTGTTTGCTTTTTTTTTCCTTTGCTTTTTTGGGGGGGTCACACCCGGCGATGCTCAGGGGTTACTCCTGGCTCTGCACTCAGGAATTACTCTTGGCGGTGCTTGGGGGACCATATGGGATGTTGGGAATCAAACCCGGGTCAGTCACATGCAAGGCAAACGCCCTACCCACTGTGCTATTGCTCCAGCCTCAGTACTCAGTTTTATGGAAGATGTTTAGTAAGGAGTTTTCTTTCAGAACAAAATCCATAATTATGCCTAAAAGGTCACAGGGAAAATAAAGTTAAGTGAAAGAAGCAAGAAGATAGTATAAGCATCAAACGAGAAGGAATCAGTAAGGTGTGGTAACGGGGGTCCAAGACTTCCTTTGCGTGTGGAGGGGAGTAGAGAGAGACAATGAGGGGTGAAACAGAACACCAAATAGGTTTCTAGAGCTTCTAGAAACTCCCTGTTCACTTCCGTTCACATAAAATTTAGTCTTTGGGGGTTTTCTCTTGGCCCAAACTCCTCCTCTGTCTCCAACTGTGTTCTGTAGCCAGTGGGTGAACTCTCCAGTTTACAGAAGTGCTTAAGAAATGAAGTGCAGGGAGGGAACCATGCTGAGGACAGTGGAGAAGCCGAGGCTGGTTCTGGTTTCCTGGTCTCCATGGGGCAGTGGCTGCCAGCTAAGGATAGGCCAAATCAGAGTAATTAAGTGTTGGCTCAATTTCTAAGAAGTGACAGGACTGCAAAGCCCAAGCTCGCAGCTCACTGCAGCCTGAGTGGCCACCAGCCCCCACCAGCCCTCACCCACCCTTCTACAAAGGTTTTCCTGGCTGCATTCCTGCTCCTGGAGAAGTCAAATCCCAATGGTTGTGGTGGGGGTGGGGAGGTCAAATCCCAAGGATTGAGGGGGTCAAAACCCAAGGCAGGCAAGAGCACCACACCACAGAGATGCCTCCGGACACTGCACCAGGCTATTTCATCTGGGGAAACCTTGGGTGGGGTGGGGGGATGCCTCCACCCACCCCAACAGAGCTCCAGCAGCAGAAGAACTCCAGACTTCAATCACCGCCAGGCTCACAACTGATCTCCACAGGCCTGGAAGAGACTCATCCATGAGTAAATCGGCTGAAAAACCCAGGTATGTAGGTTTTGTGAGCAAAATCTCCAGGCTCGCAGAGTCGAGAATGGGTGACCTCCACCCATCTCCCTGTTCTTCTGGAGGCCTGGCAGTCATGCCCATGAACTGCATCTGGCGCCACATAAGCTCATTAACTGGGAATGATCCAGAGACTCACAAATAAATCTCTTAGAAGAGAGTAACATGAACAACACACCGCAGAGATGTCTCCGGACCCCAAACTCCAGTTAAAATTAGCCTCCACTGCAAAACAAGAACAACGACAACAAAGAACTCAAGGGATTTGGGGTGGGAGCTGAGGAAGGATGCTTGTGGGGAGTGAGAAGCAAGAGAGAAGGAAGAGCATGTTTTTTTTTAAAGCCTGTTCTTTAACACTGCAGAGGAACATTGGTTATTCCCTTTGTAAATCTTCCATCTGTGTTCTGCCTTCTATTTATTCCTTGGTTTATTTTAAATGAGAAGAGTCTTTCTTCCAAAAGTTCAAAAGCTTCAGGGCATAGGGAAATAGTATAGAAGACCCCTGTTAAAATCCCAATTTCACAGATGAAGAAAACAAAACAAAGGCAGTACAAGAGATAGCACATCTGATTTTACTAAGACTTTCAAATGGATAGTTAATCACTCACGTTTTGTTGTTGTAGGGTTTATTCTGACATATCTCTGGGGACAGGTAGTAAGGTGTTCCAACACATGTTCTAGCAAGCTCCATGGAACTGGGATATTAAACAAATAATAAAATAGCACAGTTTATAACTGGAGTAAGAAGAGGTCATTAAGACATGGACATCCAAGAACAGGCGTAAATAAACATCACAAAATGTGGGCATTAAAATAAAGCAAAACATTGTATATTTATACTAGAATAATAAAACCAGCTGCTTTTTTTCAATCAAACAACTGTAAAACTACATTGTCTTATAAACCTTTTAAAAACGTTATAAATTAAAGACCCCACAATGGCTGGGGGCTGTGTCTTAGATCTAGAACACCATATTCACATGTGTGAGGCCTTGAGTTTAATCCTTGCTAACTCAAAAAACAAAAACAAAGAAGTATCATTGTTATATTACAAAGCTCCATTAGAAAAGTTTTTCTCTTTCAACTATCATAGGAACAGAATCTTATTATTTAAAAATGTGGAAAATATGAAAAGGAAAAAAAGTACCCATAATTTTACTAGCCCTTAAACACCTATTATTAAATTTCTGATATAGTTCCTTATTGTTCTTTTTCTTTTTTTTATTTGAGGGAGGTGGCACACCCAGCAGTGCTCAGGGCTTACTCCTGGCTCTGTGCTCAATAATTACTCCTGGTGGTGCTCAGAGGACCGGATCAAACCCAGGTCAGCTGTGTGCAAAGCAAACACCTTATCCTCTGTACAATTGTTCCAGCCCCATCTTGTACTTTTTAGATGCATATTTTTCACATTGCTATAATTACAGTGAATTTAAAATTCAGAATTCCACTTTCACTTTGATTTAACAACAATTTTCTCACAATATCAAAAACTCTTCAAGTTTGTGAATGTTAATATTCTACTTCATGACTGTGCCAAATGATTTTCTGTTTGTTTATTTGGTTGAGGGTGACACCCAGAGGTGCTCAGGGCTTACTCCTGGCTGGGTTTTGGGAGGCTGTAAAGGTGCCAGGGACTGAGCCCAGGTCAACTATGTGCCAGACAAACTCCTTACCTGTTGAACTGTGTTTCTGGCCCCACTGCCCAAGTTTTTATTAAATTTCACCATCTTGCATGTGCTAGTAATAATTTCAATTATTCTACTTCTCAAATTACTCTCTTGGAACAAATTCCCAGAAATAAAATATGTTAAATTGCTTGATATTTATTACTACCAAATTGTCTATGAAAACATTTCCACCAATATATTTCCTAACAGTAATGGTGAACTTGTCTGTTGCACTAAACACTCACTAGTTTCAAGCATGTTAAAGTCACATCTCATTCAATCAAGTATATCATACCACATATTACCACCATTGCCCTAATCTGCCAAGGCTTATATGAATAGTTATCTTCAGTCATTTGAAAGCCATGTTAAAAATGCCATAATTCATTAAACCTAAAAATACATATTTGGGCTGTTATAACAGAATGAAAAATGATTTTTTGTTTTTTTTTCTTTTTGGGTCACACCTGGCGATGCACAGGGGTTACTCCTGGCTCTGCACTCAGGAATTATCCCTGGTGGTGCTCAGGGGACCATATGGGATGCCGGGAATTGAATCCGCGTCGGCCACATGCAAGGCAAACACCCTACCCACTGTGCTATCGCTCCAGCCCCTGAAAAATGATTATAAGTACTTACTTGTTTAAGACTTTTGCTATACCAAAGTCCCCAAGCTTTGCAACACTTCCACTCTTGCTAAGAAATATGTTCTATAAATGGAAAGAATGGTACATCAATAGCTAATTTTTAAGAAAACAGAGATAAGTTCTATCTAGTCTTCTCCCCGAGCTGTTACCTGTGCTTTGATGTCCCTGTGTAAAATCTTCCTGTCATGAATATGTTTTAGTCCTAGAGAAATCTGAACAAACCAATTCAGAATCTGAAGAGGGGACGTAAAAAGAAACTAAGTCAGCAATTTAGCCATGAAATGTCTTGACGATAACATACAAAAAAGAGACCAATTATACTATATTTGTGTGCATATATGCTTATGAATGAAGCAAGTAAATGTATCATCTTATCATATTATTTTCATTTTACAACCAGAAAAATAAAGATACAGAAAGGTGCCGGTTGTATTGGTATCAAAAGAAAGTCCCCTATAACATACCAGAAAAAGATGAACAGAAGAAACCAAAAGGAAGATAGTTAATTATATTTGTTTATCTTTTTTTTTTTTGCTTTTTTGGGTCACACCCAGGGATGCACAGGGGTTACTCCTGGCCGTGCTTGGGGGACCATATGAGATGCTGGGAATCGAACTCGGGTCGGCTGCATGCAAGGCAAACGCCCTACCCGCTGTGCTATCACTCCAGCCCCTATTTTTTTTTTTATCTTTTTAGCACTAGGTTGCTAACTGTATCAAAATATTAGACAATACTGGTGTCTAATTATAGGTTTTTGTTCCTTTTATTTTGGGAACCACATCCAGCTGTGCTCAGGACGTACTCCTGGTTCTGCGATCAGTGATCACTCCTGGTGCTTTTGGGGGACAATATGGGATGCCAGTGATACCACCGGGGTTGGCCACATGAAAGGCAAGCACCTTACCCACTGCATTATCTCTCCAGACCCTCTAGCTTTTTTCCTTTTTAATGTAAAGAGTGGCAAGGTCAGAGAAAGAGAGAGAGGAAAAAGTTGAGAATCTTTGGAGGCATAGTACCGCCAGAAGGTCAATCTGTACCTGTGAGGTGAGTGCATCAGCAGCCTGATGGTGCCTTCAGACTTCCAGATACCCCAAAATTTCTGCTGTGCCTTTGGCCAGACCCCAACAACTTGGGGTAAAGTTGTTTGCGTGACATCATATGTTGTTCATAACCAGCAATAGAAAACAAATTGTCTACTGTTGCCTTTTTGGCAGATCTGAGTATGGGGTAACTGTCACTGTCCTCCCATTGTTCATCGATTTGCTCGAGCGGGCCCAGTAACATCTCCATTGTGAGACTTGTTGTTACTGTGTTTGGCATATTGAATACATCATGGGTAGCTTGCCAGGCTCTGCCGTGAGGGCGAGATACTCTCGGTAGCTTGCCGGGCTCTCCGAGAGGGGCAGAGGAATGGAACTCGGATCGGCCAGGTTGGCTGTGTTAAATGCCCTACCACTGTGCTATCGCTCCAGCCCCAGTATGGGGGTAAAATCCCAAATAATAATGGTGGGTCTGGTGTCAAAATATTGAATGTAATCAAAGTAGAGAGAGAATAATGTGGAAATCATCTGCCCCATAGGTAGGGGGAAGGTATAAGATTGGGGGGGGAGTATATTGGGGTTTTTGGTGGTGGAAAATAGGCACTGGTGAAGGGACGGGTGTTTCATTGTATGACCGAGAGTTAAACCCGAAAGCTTTGTCACTGCTCTCATGGTGATTCAACAAATAAAATCATAAAAAAGGGGGGGGGGAAGTAAGGTAGAGTTAGAGTTCATGCCCAATTCAATCAACCTAATCAATGGCTAAATAAATAACAATACTCCTACATAAAAAAGAGAATCTTTGAGGGTATTAAAATTTGTAATAATCATCCATTATATATACATTCTTTTTTGAAAATTGAATCACTGTGAAATAGACCTCACAAAGTTATTTATGATTGGGTTTCGGGCATACAATGTTCCAATACCCATCCCTCCACCAGATAACAGAAATTCTTAAAACTTAAAAAAATTTTAATTTAATCACCATGAGATCACGGTCATGGTCCTTTCGTTGTTCATAGATTTGCTCAAGCGAGCCCAGTAACGTCTCCATCATGATATTTGTCGTTACTGTGTTTGGCATATTGAATATGTCATGGGTTGCTTGCCAGGTTTTGCTGTGTGGGCGAGATACTCTCAGTAGTTTGCTGAGCTCTCTGAGAGGGGCAGAGGAATTGAACCTGGCTCGGCCAGACTGGCTGCGTGCAAGGCAAACGCCCTACCGCTGTGCTATCTCTCTAGCCCACACCATGAGATAGACCATTACAAAGCTATTCAAAGCTGTTCATACAGTGCTCCAATGTAAGCTGTTCATACAGTGCTCCATCTCTCTACCAATGTAAGTTTCCCAGCACCAATGTCCCCAGTTTCTCTCCTACCACCCCAAAACTTCCTTCCACCCTCCTCCTAGACTGCCTCTTTAGCAGGCATTCCTCTCCACTTCTCTCTCTCTCTCTCTCTCTCTCTCTCTCTCTCTCTCTCTCTCTCTCTCTCTCTCTCTCTCACACACACACACACACACACACACACACACTTTCCTCCCTCTCCCTCTCTCCAGTCAGGGGGGCCCAAAAACACACAACAGAAACACCAACTGCACTTTTATATTCATTACAGCACTATTCACAACAGCCAGAATCTGGAAACAACCTGAGTACCCAAGAACAGATGACTAGATAAAGAAAATATGGTATATCTACACAATTAAATACTATGCCGCTATTAGGAAAAATGAAGTCATGAAGCTTGCCTATAAATTCTTAAAACTTTTTAAAGCTTAATTTTTTAAATCATTATTTTATTTTCTTTTAGCTGGTCATCTGCCTTTTTGTTAAATGTGTTCTATGAAATTTATTTAAACTCTTCTAGAGTGTCATGGATTCTTTTTACCCACTGCATTATGCAAAAAGAAGAAAAAAATAGGGAAAAAGAGATAATCCAGATACTAAAATCTAGTTATAGTTTTAGTTCTTTCCAAACAAAAGGAAATATAATTCAACGTTTTGTAAAGATAAGATTTTTTTCATTAAATGCAGCAAATTTAGGACTATCAAGGAAGAAAGGAGTAATTCTATAAATATAGAATTGAATATATAATATAAATTAACATATAAAAATATTTGATTAAGTTTAGAGAGGTTAAGAATATTGCTTCCTTGGTCATTTGTGCATTCACACTGTAGCACTGTCCTCCTGTTGTTCATCGATTTGCTCGAGCGGGCACCAGCAATGTCTCCATTGTGAGACTTGTTACTACTGTTTTTGGCATATCAAATATGCCACGGTGAGCTTGCTAGGCTCTGCTGTGCGGGCAGGATACTCTCGGTAGCTTGCCAGGCTCTCCAAGAGACCAGAGGAATCAAACTTGGGTCGGTCGTGTCGGCTGCATGCAAGGCGAATGCCCTACCCGCTGTGCTATATAGTTATATATTTTTATTTTTATTTTTGTTTTTGTTTTTTGTTTTTTTTTCCTTTTTTTATTAGTGAAACACCATGAGGTACATATTTTTAAATGCTCCATTTTTTTTAGAAGGACGTTGCATAGGCATGATGCATTTTAATGAAAAACAGGCTGAAGGAACAATGGCCTACAGGAAGGTGGGAACGTTTCCGTGGCATGTTTGAGGCCTCATCAGTCAGATGCCCGATTCCACTCCTCTCCACTCACACCTGTCTTGTCTGTGAGCACTGCTCCCAGGAGGAAGGAGCTAAGGAAGCTCGGTGCACAGAAGAAAAATGTTTTTTTGCCAAGAGAAAATGGGAATAGGGGTCATTATCCTTCACGTTTTCTCGCCTCTCTCTTAATAGCCAATGAAACTGAATAGCTATTGCTAAGAAGATTCTCCATTCTCCCTCAACAAGTGCAGGACTGATTAACAGCAAAAAATGAGATGGTGAAAGGAAGAGTAAAGCAATAAAGAGACCATATTTTAAAAGATTCAGGAACATCTATATTCAGGGTTTTTTTTTTTTTTTGCTTTTTGGGTCACACCCGGAGATGCACAGGGGTTACTCCTGGCTCTGCACTGAGGAATTAGTCTTGGCGGTGCTCAAGGGACCATATGGGATGCTGGGAATCGAACCCAGGTCGGCTGCGTGCAAGGCAAATGCCCTACCAGCTGTGCTATCGATCCAGCACCTATATTCAGATTTTTCAAATTTGTTTTTTGTTTGATGGCCACACCTGTTAGTGCTCAGGACTTAGTCCTGGCTCCGCAGGGGTCACTACTGGCAGAGCTCGGGAGACAGATCGGGTGCCAGGTGTATTGAGGGCAAAACCTCTTACCTACTACCTCTCCAGTCCCTTACATTTTAATTTTTTTAAGTCATGAAGATTTACCTAACAGACATTCTACACAAAATTGTCTAAAACAAGATACAATCTTCACTGTTCACTGTCATCACATTGTTCATCGATTTACTCGAGTGGGTGTCAGTAACGTCTCCATCCATCAGAGCCCTGAGATTTTAGCAGTCTCTCCTTACTTGTCCTTCCCAACACTGCCATATTAGAGGGTCTTTCAGGGTCAGGGGAATGAGACCTGTTACCGTTACTGCTTTTGGCATATCAAATAAGCCATGGGTAGCTTGCCAGGCTCTGCTGTGATAGTATCTGAGATACTATCTTATCTCAGGAAAATGTCTTGCTTAAAAACAGATTCAATTTAAGTTGTATCACAAACTAAATCTATCAAGAACATTGATCAATTCTTTTACAGTTTGAGTTTCTTTACTAGAAATCAGATCTCATAGAAACATGGTTCACTGTTCATGGCGTTTTAACCTTACCTGCCTGGTGTGAATGAAAAGGCAAATGAAAAGTGTTTTTACCTGGTCTTCACTGAATAACACTCCTCGTTGCTTACTGATCCTCTTCATGAGATCTCCTCCATCACAGTACTCCATCACAATGAACAGACTGTTGTTCTCTGTAAGAAAAAGTGCACCACTCAGGGCTGACAAGGATTTTAGAGAGTGCCTACACACCTACATTTCAGCTTCTAGGGGGGAAAGAATATAACAGAATAGCAGTATAAAGCAGCAAAAACTCTGGCTGTAGAATTGAGTGGGACTGGGATTTTATTATTGCAGTACATACTCTTCCGTGCTCTGTGACTCTGGGTAAAATATTTTTGTTTCTCTCTGTTACATTACCTCATCTGTAGATAGTAATATTGAAAGCCCTCTTAGGACTGCTCTAAGGATTAGGGACAGGGAGATAACCCAGGGGTTAAGGCTCATACCATGTCTGCACTTGACCCTGGTTCAATCCCTGGCATTGAATCCCCCCACAGCCCCAACCCAAGTATCCCTGAATATAGCTCTGAAGACCCATGGCCACTCCTGGGGTGGCCATTGTGGTTCCCAACTTCCTCAGGTCCAGGCTGGTCAAGTATGGCCAGAGAGGTCCCTGGTCCCCCTGAGCACAGCTCGAGGAGATGACATCCTCCCAACCCCCAAAATATAAAAGTTAAATGAGTTGGCTCAAGTCAGATGCTTAGAATAATGTTTGTACACAATAAGAATTTATTATTATCTTAATATTCCTGAAAAAAAAAGATGAGAAATCTGCTGTAAATTAACAGCTTTGTCTTCACCAAAACTTCTGGGAGAATTTTTAGAGCCCTCTTAAATTTATATATAAGCTTGTTTTTTTTATTATATTTTTTAATTTTTTCTTTTTTGCTTTTTGGGTCACACCCGGCAATGCACAGGGGTTACTCCTGGCTCTGAGCTCAGGAATTACTCCTGGTAGTGCTCAGGGGACCATATGGGATGCTGGGATTCAAACCCGGGTCGGCCGCGGGCAAGGCAAACACCCTATCCACTGCGCTATCGCTCTAGTCCTAAACTTGTTTTTTTTTAAATCAGGTATTTAGTCAACAATATTGTTGAATACAGCTGACACACTTCTTTCTTTGTGGGCCATACCCGGCAGTGCTAGGGCTCTGTCCTCAGGGATCACTCCTGGTGGTGCTCAGAAAACCATATGTGGTATCGGGAACTGAACCCAGGTTGGTAGCGTGCACAGCAAGCACCTTAGCTGCTCTAAAGTCCCTCCAACCCCCACATTCTCCTAACTGGCATATGCTCAGTGGGGCTTTCAGCTCCTGCCTGCTCTCACTGAGTCAAATCAAGATCATGGTGTTCATTCCCAAATAAATTCATGCCAGAGCTGGGGAGATCGCTCAAAGGGCTGCACAGCGGACCTGGGTTCCATCCCTGAAAACTAATGGTCCCTTGGGCACCAGCATCCCTGGAAACTAATGGTCCCTTGGGCACCATCAGGAGTAACTCACCAGGCTTGGAGTAGTTCCTGAGCACTGCCAGGCATGGCCCAAACACAAAACAAAAGTACCAAATAGTTTATGCTAATTATACCTGTTATTTAACCAACTATATACATTGATAAGATATTTTTTAAAAATAGAGTTAGTTCGAGGCTGGAGAGATTGCACAGTGGGTAGGGCGTTTGCCTTGCATGAGGCCAACCCGGGTTCGATCCCCAGCATCCCATATGGTCCCCTGAGCACCGCCAGGAGTAATTCCTGTGCAAAACCAGGAGTAACCCCTGAGCATCACCGGGTGTGACCTCCCCCCCACCTCAAAATAGAGTTAGTTCTACCAAAAAGAAAAAAACTGCATTGAATGATTTATATTATGTAGCTTTTTAAAATATGTATATAAAGTCTCCTACCCTGTGCCTGACTGTCTCCACCAGGGCCCAACAGCTGAAGACCTCCGGGGCCCAGCCAAGGCCATGCTGGGACCACTCTCCACACACTTGGATGAGCCTCACACATAAAAGAACTGGCAGAGGAACCCAGGTGTGTGGGACCCGGGGCTGAGATCTCCAAGCCTGCACGGTTTGGGACTGGACCTGCCAGTAACTAGACAGTTACACCCACCAACTGCCGTGTAACTCCAACAACGGCTAGGATCCAGAGATTATCACACTCAGGTCCCGGAAGCGGCCGCGCGACATCTTATCATCTCATTCCTACTTTGGACAAACTGGCAGGCTACCGAATGTAACCTGCCCACACGGCAGAGTCTGGCAAACTCCCCGTGGTATACCCAATATGCCAAATGCCAGTAACAATGATGGGTCTCATTCTCCTAACCCTGAAAAAGCCTTGAATATGGCACTTTTAAAAAAAAAATCTCAGGGCTAGGATGAAGAAGATGTTACTGGAACCTGCTCGAGGCAATAGAAGAACAACAGGGTGGTCGTGATATATATACATATATATATATCTGAAATTGTTCTAGATGTTGAATAGGACAAATGGAAAATATTTGAAAGAATTGTAACAGAGAGTATCTGTAAATTTCTATTCCATTCCAAAGAAATAAAATTATAAATGAGAGGCAAAGTCTATGTAAGAAAGGATATTTAGAAGGTCAATCAGAAGACTCAAAATCAAAGATGAGACCTTGCGTATATCTCAAAAGCTCGGCAAGTGATTGTGCATTATAAATTCAAATATACGTGTATTATATCCTGTTTCACCAGGTTTTTCCTTTATCTGACTAACTGGTGCTCTGGAGCAATAGCACAGCACGTAGGGCATCTGCCTTGCACACGACTGACCCCGCCGACCTGGGTTCGATTCCTCCACCCCTCTCGGAGAGCCCGGCGAGCAACTGAGAGTATCTCACCCACATGGCAAAGCCTGACAACCTCCCTGTGTCGTATTCAATATGCCAAACACAATAACAACAAGTCTCACAATGGAGACGTTACTGGGCCCGCTGCAGCAAATCGATGAACAACGGGAGGACAGTGACAGTAACAGTGACTAACTGCCAGATAAAGGAAAAGCAGCTTGAGGGCCCAAGAGAGAGTACAGGTAAGAATGCAGAGGGAAGGGAGGGGGGTGGAAATGGGAGGAAAGGGGAAGGAAGGGAAGGGAAGGGAATGAGGGGAGGAAAGGGGAGGGGAGGGAAGGAAGGAGAGGAAAGGGAAGGGTCTACTAATGGATTTGTCTTTATCACCAGTCTGTAGATTCCCTGTCCACATAACACTGCCCAAACTTGCTCTTCTGTGTTCCCTGCACCTGGCACTGCATCATGGAAGTGGCTTAACAAAAGTTCGCTGAGTGGTTTCACAAAAATAAAAAAAAGAAAGAAAGAAAGAAAGAAAGAAAAAGCCCTACGGAACACAAAACAATCACACAGACAAGCAAGAGGTGATCCTTCTGTTCTCTTCCCCTGTGTTTCTGCATCTACACTAAGAGCCAGAGTCTCCTATCCGGTGTCTGTCACCTGCTCCTTCCGCTCAGACAGTTACACCAACTGTAAAGTGGATTGTCAGTGAGCTGACACCATCTGCACTTGCTTGTCTCATTGCAGACTGAGAGGCTGACATGGACAGGCCCCCAGGTTTGGTCTCTGGCCCCACATGGCCTCCCGAGCATTGCTGGGTCCAGCCCTCAGCATCACTGCGGAGCTCCCTGACCCCCAATTAGCACATCATGGTGCACTTTGCAACCTGTAGCATCTAGAACTGAAGAAATGAGGGTTCATTCACTACCATCATTACTCCATAAAATAAAAGAATTTTAGTGCTAGAAATAGAATTGAGATATACAGTCTGTAGAGTGGAGTGATAGCACAGTGGATAGGGCATATGCCTTGCATGCAGATGTACTGGCCAACCCAAGTTCAATTCCTCCACCCCTCTCAGAGAGCCTGGCAAGCTACCGAGAATATCCGAATATCCAGCTCGTTCAGCAAAGCCTGGCAAGCTCCCCGTGATGTATTCGATATGCCAAACACAGTAACAACAAGCCTCACAATGGAGACATTACTGGGCCCGATTGAGCAAATCGATGAACAACAGGAGGACAGTGCTACAGTGTCAGCAATATATATATATATATATATATATATATATATATATACATATATATATATATTAGACTGGAGTGATAGCACAGTGGTAGGGCATTTGCCTTGCACGCAGCTGACCCAGGTCAATTCCTCCACCCTTCTGGGAGAGCCCAGCAAGCTACCAAGGGTATACAGCCCGCACAAAGCCTGGCAAGCTCCCCCTGACATATTCGATATGCCAAACACAGTAACAAGTGTCACAATGGAGACGTTACTGGGCCCCCTCGAGCAAATTGATGAATAACGGGAGGACAATGACAGTGACAGTGATACTACTCTCCCCATGCTCACTGTATCTCCCACACTGAATTCTATCAGAGTTTGGCAGCAAGTCTCAGCTCTGACCCCACTGCCAGACCAGTGGCTATCTCATAGAAGTTGGTCACATGGCTGGGCCTACTGGGCTAAGCAGAAAGGCCTGGATTCCTCCTGGCCACAGCAGTGAGCAGAACTCGTGTGCCTGCCTGCATTTCTGTGGCCATGGAGCCTTGTTGAGGTGAGCCTTACAGGAGAGAGCCCCTGCCTGCAGCTGCCCAGAGGGGCTCTGTTTGATCCTCAGCAGAAAACAGGTCTGTTCCCTGTCAGTGGGGCAACATGGCACATGTTCGAAGTGGCAGCTACCCATGGAGAGCAGAGAAATCACCCGGCTAGAAGGGAGTGTGCGATTCTGGCCTTGGTCCTTCCAACAAGAAAGTGCAGGATGCTTGGCACGCTGCCCTGTCTGCCTCCTCGCCAGCCCTTCACCACTTCGTGCCTGTTCCTGCCTCCTCCTTTTACAGTGTTTTCTCAACCCAAATAGTAACAAAACCCTCCAAGTCTGTGCTCATTCACACTGAAGCCCGGCCCAACCACGTTGTAACAACTGTCACTGTCCTCCCATTGTTCATCGATTTGCTCAAGCGGGCCCAGTACCGTCTCAATGGTGAGACTTGTTGTTACTGTGTTTGGCATATCGAATACGTCACGGGGAACTTTCCAGGCTTTGCCGTGTGGGCGAGATACTCTCAGTAGCTTGCCAGGCTCTCTGAGAGGG